TTAGCATAATGTCCTCTAGGTTCATTTATGCTGTTGCAAATGGCATTTCCTTCTGTTTTAAGGCCACCTAATCTTTCATTGTCTGTATATATCACAGTTTATTCGCCTTTTGGTGGACACTTTGGTTGTTTCCATATTTTGGCTAATGTGAATAATGCTCCAATGAGCATTTGCAGAGGGAGTGCAGATTATCTTTACAAGGTGGCAATTTTCTTTTCTTAGGGTATATATCCAGCAGAGGGATTGCTGAATCATCTGGTAGCACTATTTTTAATTTCTTTAGGAATATCATAGTATGTTCCATAGTAGCTTCACCAATCTACATTCCCACTGACAGTGGGTTTCCTTTCTCTACATTCTTGACAAAACTTACCTCATCATTTTGATAAACATGTGATATCTCACCACATGTGAGGTGATCTATCTCTGTGGTTTTTATTTTCATTTTCCTGATGATCAGTGAGGTTGAGCACATTTTTATATACCTCTTGGCCATTTGTATGCCTTCTTTGGAGAAATGTCTATTCAGGTCTATAAACACATTGTTAAGCAAGTATCCATTTCTTTTCATAATCACCAAAAGGAATAGCAGTCTTTTCTTTTGAGACAGTGTCTCACTCTGTCACCCAGGCTGGGGCACAATGGCACGGTCATGGCTCATTGCAGCCTCAAACTCCTGGGCTCTGGCGATCCTTCCACCTCAGCCTTCTGAGTAGCTGGGACTACAGGCGCGTGCCTCTGTGCCTAATTTTTTAATTATTATTTGTAGAGACAGGGTCTCCCTGTGTTGCCAGGCTGGTCTTGAACTCCTGGGCTCCAGCTAGGGCTCCTCCCACCTCAGCCTCCCAATTTCGACAGTTACAGGTGTGAACCACTGCACCCAGCCAGGGATAGCAGGTTTATAAACCTTTTTCAATCTGGTGAGCAATAAATTATAACTTGTCTTAATTTGCACTTTATTCATTATTAATAAAGTTGAGCAGCTTTCATTTACTATCTTTTCCTATTGTATTAATTTTATTTATGTGATTTGCAATTTTTCTACAGGCTATTAGCCATATACTGTTGTACTACAGATGTTTCTATATTGTTTCTATTTTGGTTTTACTATCAAGTTTTTTGGCAAACAAAATATTAAATTTGTATGTAGTCAATTTACCAATTATTTTCACTCATGGTGTTTGTTTTCGGTCATGCTTAAATGGCCTTCATCACTTGTTCACTCATATTTCTGCAAATATTTACAAAACATCAAAAGTTCAGAGGCTTTCAGTGTTTCATCTAACACATTACATTGATTTTTTTCATAATTTATGCATAAGGCCTGAAGTAAGGATCTAGCATGTGCTCTCTCTCTCTCTCTCTCTCTCTTTTTTTTTTTTTTTTTTTTTTTTTGAGATGGAGTCTCGTGCTGTCACCCAGGCTGGAGTGCAATGGCATGATCTTGGCTCACTGCAACCTCCACCTCCCAGGTTCAAGCGATTCTCCTGCCTCAGCCTCCTGAGTAGCTATGATTACAGATACCTGCCACCACACCCAGCTAATTTTTGTATTTTTAGTAGAGACGGGGTTTCACCATGTTGGTCAGGCTGGTCTCAAACTCCTGATCTTGTGATCTTCCTGCCTCAGCCTCCCAAAGTGCTGGGATTATAGGTTTGAGTCACCGTGCCTGGCCTGGATCTAGCTCTAAAAAGCCACAAAATGCCCAGCTAGTTATTCTGAGGCCATCAGTCATCCTTGTCCATCTCCCTCTAATGATTAAACACGTCCCTGTTAGAATAAACCAAATGTCCATAGATATTTGGATCTATTTTATGACTCATTGCTTTACTGGTCTCTTTATTCCAGCACCAACACTACACTGCTAATGATTGCAGCGTTGATTCCTCCAAGGCCAGTAACCTCTCTGACTCCCTCTACCCCCCACATGTTTTCAGAAGTTGCCTAATTTTTCTTACATAGTAATTCTTTCTAATTAGCTTTACTACATAAAGAATCCAGTTTATTTTAAAATGTTGTTGTAATTTGTCTTTTGACATTTCTATATCTCTTATTAATTTTTCTTGCTATATTGCTCAGGTTGGAGTACAATTATAGTAGCTATTCTCAGGTCAATTATAGAACACTGTGGCCTCTAACTCCTGACCTTAAGTGATCCTCCTGCCTTAACCTTCCAAGTATCTGGGACTGCAGTTGCGAGCTTCTGTGCCTGGCCAAGTTAACCTTAGATTTTTTTCTCAAGATCCTGTTGGGATGTTAATTTCTATTAGAATTACAGATTGTTTTGGAGAAGATTATATTTTTACAAGATTATATTTTCCTAAGAACTGAAATAGATTTTCTATGTGCTTAGTAGAGTTACAGTTTTCCTATACATTTCTTGTAAAGTTTATTCCTAATATTCTATTTTTGTTCCTATTAGCTGTGTCCTGTAAATTTAATATGTCGTGTTTTCATTCCATTCCGTGTATTTTTAGTTTTTCTTGAGACTTCTTTGGTGAATGGATAACATTAGAAGTGTTTGGAGATTTTGCTGTTAGCTGTTCTTAGCTGTACATCCTTTTGGGACAAGAACACACACAATGATTTCAATTCTTTTAAATCTGTTGAGGTTCGTTTTATGGCCCTGGATATGGCTTATCTTGGTGAATGTTAAGTGGGCACGTGAACTGAAGATGTATTTTGCTGTTATTGAGTGGACTGTCCTACAAATGTCAGTTAGGTCTCCTGGCTTGATGGTGTCATAAAGTTCTATGCTGATTTGCTGTCTAATAGTTTGATCAATTGTTGAGGTAGGAGTATTAAAGTCTCCAACTATTTGTGGATGTCTTTTTCCTTTTATTTCTAATGGTTTTGCTGAATGTATTTGGAAGCTCTTTTGTTTGATGTGTAACCTTTAGTATAGCTTCTTAGTGGACTGACCTTTTTGTCGTTGTGTGATGTCTCTCTTTATCCTCTTCTGGACTGCTTTCTAGAAGAAGAAATTAACAACAGATCTCTTTCCTTTTAATACAGTAAATCTGGAGTGGTCTCTGAAAATCTGCATTAAAAAAAAATTCCAAGATGATTTTTATAATCTTATAATCAGGTATTACTCAGAGTTCTTGCTTATAAACAATAGAAACTGACTTTAGTAAACTTAGAATTTATCAAAAAAAATATCTAGTAACATCTACTGGATTGTTAAGTCTTGTTATGAAGCTTCAGGGAAGCCAGAAAGCCTAGGCAGTTATTCTCCCTGACCCTGGCTGATGGAGCACAGTTATGTGACCTAAACTCAGCCCATCAGGGTCTGACACCACTTAGGACTTTAAATGTGGTGTAAGGATGTAAAGTAGGGATAGTTTAGGATTCATGCTGGTGGGGCAAGAATTTTGGTGTCCAGTAATAGAAGTAGCAATAATGACAGAATCTAGGCACATGCCTGATTATGGCATGATCTGATCTTAGTTCAAACTGCCTGGCCTTTTGCTTTCTATCCCTTTTCTAAGCTTGCTTCCCAGACTTCCAGCAGTAAACACACACACACACCACACACACACACACACACACACACACACACACACACACACGGTATACAAACTCCTGTTTGGGGAAAATTGTAATTATTTTGGGAGTGAAAATCAGCATAGTATCTATCACTTGCTAGGTCAATTGCCAAATAATGAGTGAGGTTAATATTGTGGGTTCTGTTTGCATGGTGAGTGGAATTATTTAGTGTTTTGGAAGCCAGCAGCCCTGAAACATGGGAGGTAGGCTCCCAAATTGTGTACCATAAGGGAATCTAAATGGTGGTGGTAACACTAGGCTGTGCGTGGGGATCTGTATCTGGCTTTAGACAAGTAGTTACTGAGACTAGTCACTTAGTCTAGGCTCATCTGTAAAGGGAAGAAATTGTATTAAGCCAGATAGTTTCTAGGCCTTTCTTAATTATGTTATTCTGTGATTCTAGAGAGTTTTGCTGCTGGTTAACCTCTTCATACTCTATTGTCGTGAGATTAGTGGAGAACTGTCAAGAACACAGACCAAGAGAAACTGAAGTATGAGACGTAGTGTCTGAATTAGTCAGTATCTGAGTGGAAAGGTCCAGGCCAAAGAATGTACACAGATGGACAGAAACCCACTTACTGTGGAAAAATGGACACCAAAGAGTTTTGGTGTCACACAGGTTTGTCACCCAACTCCATAACTGGAGGAAAGACACATCAGTAATTCTTTCAGAGATGCTGACATAACATCTCTTCCAAAAAGAACTTTTGCCTGTTTTATGCTGTCTGGACTAAAGAGAAAGGGATATTTGGCAGAGAGAGGATAGAGCATGACGTGAGAGTTAGAAGTTAAGCAAGTTGAACTGGTATGAGAGAGGAGTTGGGAAAATGGGCCCATCCCCCGTCTTCTCCAGATACCAAAACCTGGCTCTGGAGATGCCTGACAGGCAGGTGCCAAGAGAGGTCTTACCTGCCCAGTGCGTATTAATGCAGTCCCTGCTTTTTTTTTTTTTTCCTCAGGAGGCTGATGCAGGAGAATTTTGAGATGGAGTTTCGCTCTTGTTGCCCAGGCTGGAGTGCAGTAGTGCAATCTCAGCTCACCGCAACCTCTGCCTCCCGGGTTCAAGCAATTCTCCTGCCTCAGCCTCCTGAGCAGCTGAGATTACAGTCATGTGCCACCATACCCAGCCAATTTTGTATTATTAGTAGAGATGGGGCTTCTCCATGTTGGTCAGGCTGGTCTCGAACTCCCGACGTCAGGTAATCCACCTCGGTCTCCCAAAGTGCTGGGATTACAGGCGTGAGCCACCAAGTCCCTGCTCTTGAACTAATCACACAAAATGACTATACCAGATTGGCTCAGATAAATCAATTTGTCAGGAAGGTACAACCTGCAGAATGGCTGCAAAGGACCATCTTAGTGAAGTGAATCCGTATTTTCCTTTTCACATAAATAAGAGTTTTGAAGTGACTGGAGCACAATAAATTGAGTAATTCTCTTGTAACTTGCAGGTTCTTATGAGTGCATCAATATTGGGGGCCCTGTGTCTTTTCTCATCTGTCTGTGTTATATGCGCCATTTCTGCATTTACTCTCCCCATTGAGACCAAAGGACGGGCCTTACAGGTGAGTGGTGCAGGGAACTCTGAAGTCTTTCTGACTACCGCTTTTGCCCAGGGGAAATGAATGTGGTATATGGGCATTCTTCTTTTTGGCAGACGTGATATCCGTGTTTGTGTTAAACACAGTATATGTTTAGCAGCTTTCAATAGAAAAACTGAGTCTGCAGTTTTTTCCACATATAGCTTTGAGCATCATTTTAGTTAAAATAACTAATAATTCATATCAGATTTCTTTCTGTAAAGTTGTAGTTTGAATAACAAGAATTTTTGTTTGATTTGTGAGACAAAGTCTCACCCTGTCACCAGGCTAGAGTGCAGTGGCGCGATCTCAGCTCACTGCAACCTCCGCCTCCCGGGTTCAAGTAATTCCCCTGCCTCAGCCTCCAAGTAGCTGGGACTACAGGCATGCACCACTATGCCCGGCTGATTTTTTGTATTTTAGTAGAGATGGGGTTTCACCATGTTGGCCAGGCTGGTCTGGAACTCCTGACCTTGGGATCCACCCACCTCAGCCTCCCAAAGTGCTGGGATTACAGGTGTGAGCCACTGTGCCCAGCAATAACTTCTTTTTCTAATGACAGTTGTTGAGGCCTCAGGATTCTACCCTTCCCACTTTTCTTTTCTTTTCTTTTTTTTTTTTTTGAAATGGAGTCTTGCTCTGTCATCTGGCTGGAGTGCAGTGGCGGAATCTCGGCTCACTGCAACTTCCGCCTCCTGGGTTCAAGCGATTCTTCCACCTCACCCTCCCGAGCAGCTGGGAACACAGACGCGTGCCACCACGCCCGGCTAATTTTTGTATTTTTAGTAGAGACAGGGTTTCACCATGTTGGCCAGGATGGTCTAGATCTCTTAACCTCGTGATCTGCCCGCTTGGCCTCCCAAAGTGCTGGGATTACAGGCATGAGCCACCGCGACTGACCCCCTCCCACTTTTCTCTCTGGATGTAAGCCTTGCTGCAGAGCTGAAAATGGCTGGCAGAGCTGCAACAGCTATTTGTGTTGCCCTTGGGACCACATGATTTCAGTGTTGGCCCAGCTTCATTCACCTCTGGTCCCTGTGGGAAGAACTGAGTCAGAAGCTTGAATGCTGCACCAGTCACCATTCAATACTAACAGCAGCACTGAATGCTCACTCTATTTTGCAAAGTACATTAAAAAGAAAAAACACCCCTCAAAAGTATAAGGCATGCTTCCAGGCTCCAGGTTGAAGAGAGGGCCTCTCCTACCCCTACCCTTATGGTTGGATTCAGTGGAGGATGGTCACATCCAAGTACAGGTGGTGGGTCTGACGTTTTCCTGCCTTCAACACAAAGCTTGTAGCTGGCATAGAAGGGCATGTGTGTGTGCTTATGGGGAAGGGGGAGAAGAGTTGGGTTAGGTGACTGGTCACACAGTTTAGTTGACCCTGAGCTGCCATCTCTCCCTGAGGCCGTGGTCATGATGCTTCTGTGGCTGAATGTTACTTGTCCTGTCTGCCATGTCCTACTCATAGTAAACCTTATATGCATTCATACTTGTTTTGGTACCGATATGTTTTGTTTCTCTGAGTAGACACAAGGAAGGCACTATTGAGTATTAAAGGCTTAGTCTTTTTTCTTTTGTTGTAACAGTCTAGCTCTGTGGCCCAGGCTGGAGTGCAGTGGCACAACCTCAGCTCACTGCACCCTCTGCCTCCTGGGTTCAAGTGATTCTCCTGCCTCAGCCTGCCAAGTAGCTGTGATTAAGATAAATAACCTTATTATCTTGCCTTACCTCCAACTATTAACCTAGTAGGAGAAACCTTTGTAGTCATAGCTATACCACCACGTCTGGCTAATATTTGTATTTTTTTTTTTTTTTTTGAGACGGAGTTGTGCTTTTGTTACCCAGGCTGGAGTGCAATGGCGCGATCTCGGCTCACCACAACCTCCGCCTCCTGGGTTCAGGCAATTCTCCTGCCTCAGCCTCCTGAGTAGCTGGGATTACAGGCACACACCACCATGCCCAGCTAATTTTTTGTAGTTTTAGTAGAGACGGGGTTTCACCGTGTTGACCAGGATGGTCTCGATCTCTTAACCTCGTGATCCACCCGCCTCGGCCTCCCAAAGTGCTGGGATTACAGGCTTGAGCCACCGCGCCCGGCCAATATTTGTATTTTTAATATTGACACCATGTTGATCAAGCTGGTCTTGAACTTCTGACCTCAAGTGATCCACCTACCTTGGCCTCCCAAACTGCTGGGGTTATAGATGTAGGCCACCGAGCCTGGCCTAGTTTGTCTATCTTTAAGGCTAGTTTATCTTTAAGGTAATAATGCATTTAAATCAGATTAGATGATCTATTATATAATTGTGAATTTAGGGCTTTTAGTTCCTTACTCAGAAAGGTGATTCATTCATTGAATGCTTAAAGCCAGAGACTTAGATAATTGATATGCTTCTTTTTAATCATAAGCAAAAAGATGATCAGATCCTTTATACAAATGAGAAAACTAAGGCACAAGTCGAGTAACTTGTATAAAAGAGTACACTAGTATTGTAGTGGGGCTGGCATTTAAACCAGACTGTAACACTAAGGGAACAGGAATTTAGCATCACTTAATTTTGCAAATAATGATACATATAAAAAGAAATCTGACTCACCATCTAAGGTGTCTGAGAATATCCTATTCAAGTCATATCCACCTAGAAGACTTTTGTCTTCTGTTGACTTGGTTTTAGCACTACGGTGAAATGATTCTGCAAGATTGTTGACAGCCTTTTAAGCAAACAAGTAGGTTCAATACAGTTGTCTGGGCTTGTATCCCTTGATGACTGCCACTAACTGGCTATGTGTCTTTGAGCAAATCTTAAAACACACACCCATACCTCCACCCCTAAATCAGTGTTGCAAGTGGTTACCACATGAAACCACCTGATACCAATACATCTTCTAGAAATGTTTGTAAGAACATGCCAAAAATGTTAACTTCCTTCCAACGCCACAAACACAGCACCCTAATAATGTGGATGAGCCAGCCTGGCCAATAGTTTTCAAGTGGTGTTGATTCTGTGTTACAGCTACCCTGCGAAACTGTGATTCAACGAGTCTGGTAAACTAAAAATCCAAAAACACCATCTAGAAAGAGAATATTGGCCAGGTGCAGTGGCTCATGTCTGTAATCCCAGCACTTTAGGAGGATGAGGCAGGTCAATCACCTGAGGTCAGGAGTTCAAGACCAGCATGGGCAATATGGTGAAACCCTGTCTCTACTAATATATATATATATATATATATATGTCTATTTTTAAAAAGTCCATTACTGATCTATTAAATAACTTTCTTCCAGCAAATTAAATGAAGATCTGCAAAGCTACGTCTACCAGACGAGAAAAATGACTTCCATCTTCAGAACTGTGGTACATTACTTAAAACTTGGTTTTACTTCTGTATGTCACTCAGTAGTAAAGTGATTATGATTTTTCTTTTTTAAAAAATAAGGCTTTACGGAAGTGGGGTGGGTAACTGGATATTGATCTCTTCCGTAAGAGACAATATATAAGGTACTTTTATAAAATATAATTTAAGCTTTGAAAGGGGTGCGAGAGGGAGATGGTGGGGAGAAGATGGCTTTTCTTCCTTGAAATCAAGTCTGTAAACCTTTATATGAATAAATACTAAATTATAAACTTATATTTGATATTCTCCCATGAGGTCTGTAGCTAAACTTGGACTGAAATTTTGTAGCTAAGGCAAGAACCTGGGATAATATCATTAATTCCTTTTTTTTTTTTCCCCCACCGACTTCCCATCATTAAATCTTTCAAGCCAATTAGAATAGCCACCAAGTTCAAATTAAAATTAGCCTATGTAACTTATATCCTCCATAGTTTGATAAAAATTGCCTATTCATAAAATGCTTAAATTAGAATATTACACATAATCACCAAGAAGCAGGGAATAAACTGTTTCCCCTTACATCCGCAATCTCTAATTTTATTTTTTTTATAGCGGGAATCTTTGAATCTTCTGATAGAGATTAATGAATGCAGCAGGCTTTCCTACATCATGTAATTACAGGCATGCCGTATTTTATTGTGCTTCTATATACTGTACTGTTACAAACAGCACATACTCACTTTGTCATATTTTGGTAATCTGTTACGGTGATTGGTGATCTTTGACGCTACTATTATGTTTTGGGAGTATCACTAACCACACTCATATAAGAAGCTTTGCCTACTGGATGTTCCCCCTTCTCTCTCCTTTTCCTTAGCCCTTCCTATCCCCTGAGACTCAGTAATATTGAAATTAGGCCAAATAACCCTACAATAGCCTGTAAATGTTCAAGTGAAAGGAAGACTTGCACATTTTCCATTTTAAATCTAAAGCTAGAAATGATTAAGCTTAGTGAGGAAGGCATGTTGAAAGCTAAGACAGGCTTAGAGCTAGGCCTCTTATGCCAAACAGCTAAGTCGTGAATGCACAAAGTTCTTGAAGGGGACTACTTTAGTAAACACACAAATAAGAAGAAAGCACAACAGCCTTATTGCTAATGTGGAAAAAGTTTGGTCTGGATAGGTCAAACTATCCACAACATTCCTTTAAGCCAAAACCTAATATAGAGCAGGACCCTACCTCTCTATGAAGGCAAGCGCAAGTTGAAGCAGCAAGTAACTAATAGAGACACAGCAGCAGCTTATTCAGATTTAGCTGAAATTACTGATGGTAGTTACAGTAAACAGATTTTCATGTAGATGAAACAGACTTCGTTTGGAAGAAGATGCCAACTAGGACTTTACAGTTACAAGTCAATGCCTGGCTTCAAAGAATAGGCTCTCTTCTTAGGGATTAATGCAGCAGGTGAAGCCAATACTCATTGACTGTTGTGAAAATTCTAGGGCTCTTAAGTATTACACTAAATCTATTCTTTTATTTTATAAATGGAGCAGTGCTTAGATGACAAAATTATCTGATTATGGGATGGTTAATTTTTTAAGCCTGTTGTTGAGACCTACCACTGAAAAGAAAGGACTTCATCTGAAACATTACTGCTCACTGACAATGTACCTAGTCACCTAAGATCTCAATAATTTAATGCCTGTTAACAAAATAGCCATTATGCAGACCATAGATCAAGAAGTAATTTTGACTTTCAAGTCTTATTAAGAAATACATTTCATAACGCTATAGCTGCCACTGATAGTGATTCCTCTGACGAATCTGGGCAAAGTAAATAGAAAACCTTCTGGAAACAATTCACCATTGTAGATGCCATTAAGAACGTTTGTGATACATGGGAAGCAGTCAGAATAACTCAGGAATGAGAAAGACTTCAGTGAAGAAAGGTACTACAGATATGACGGGAACACCAAGAGAACTAGAAGTGGAGCCTAAAGATGTGACTGAATTGCTGTAATCGCAAACTTGAACAGATGAGGACTTGCTTCTTGTGGGTGAGCAAGGAAAGTGGTTTCTTGAAGTAGAGTCTACTCCTGGTGAAATTGCTGTGACCATTGTTGAAATTACAACAAAGGATTTAGAATATTATATGAACTTAGTTGATAAAGCAGTAGCAGAGTTTGAGAAGATGGACTCTAATTCTGAAAGACATTCGTTCTACTGTAGATCAAATGCTATCAAACAGTATCATGTGCTACAGATAAATCTTTCATGAAAGGAAGAGTCAATTGATGCAGCAAACTTCATTAAGAAATTGCCACAGCCACCCAGCCTTCAGCAACTGCCACTCTGAACAGTCAGCAGCCATCAATATTGAGGCCAGACTCTCTATCAGCAAAAGATCGACCCACTGAAGACTTAGATGATCATTAGCACTTTTCAGTAATGAATTACTTCAAAAGTAAGATATGTGAGAAGCTATTTGGCGAAAGCTAAGGTATGTACATTTTTTAGATATAATTCTATTGCACACTTAATAGGCTGCAGTATAAACATAACTTCTAAAGCACTGGGAAACCGAACTATTTGTGACCATTTTTGATATTTACTTTATTGCAGTGGTCTGGATCTGAAGCTGCAATCTCTGTGGTATGCCTCTACTTACATGCTATTTGTTTTGGAAACCACTCCATGCAAGGCATCACACCTGTGCACACTGTACTCTTAAGGTTATGTATGCTGTAGAATGAAAGCCACTAAGGTCTATGCATTTATGCATAGGTTATGCATTTATGTTTTCCCTCTTAATTGCTGTTCAGCCTTGTTATAGTCTCTTTAAAGCACAGTCTATAATGGCAAAAACTACTTTTATAATATGAATGCCAAAATATTTTGTACTTTTTGTACTTTGGGATTTTTTTTCTTTTGAGATGGAGTCTTCTAGCGTTGCCCAGGCTGGAGTGCAATGGCACTATCTCGGCTTACTGCAATGTCCACCCCCTGGGTTCATGAGATTCTCGTGCCTCAGCCTCCTGAGTAGCTGAGATTACCGCCACACCCAGCTAATTTTTTTGTTTTTTTGTTTTTTGTTTTTTTTTTTTTTGAGGCAGAGTTTCGCTCTTGTTACCCAGGCTGGAGTGCAATGGCGCGATCTCGGCTCACCGCAACCTCCGCCTCCCGGGTTCAGGCAATTCTCCTGCCTCAGCCTCCTGAGTAGCTGGGATTACAGGCATGCACCACCATGCCCAGCTAATTTTTTGTAGTTTTAGTAGAGACGGGGTTTCACCGTGTTGACCAGGATGGTCTTGATCTCTTGACCTCGTGATCCACCCGCCTCGGCCTCCCAAAGTGCTGGGATTACAGGCTTGAGCCACCGCGCCCGGCCTTTTTTTGTATTTTTAGTAGAGACGAGGTTTCACTATGTTGGCTAGATTAGTCTCAAAACCCTGACCTTGTGATCCACCTGCCTCGGCCTCCCAAAGTGCTGGGATTACAGGCGTGAGCCACCACACTCAGCTTGTACTTTGGGTTTTCTTTCTTTTTTTTCTTTTTTTTTTTTTTTTTTTTTTTTTATTCCAAATTTCCCCCTTGCTACCCAGACTGGAGTGCAATGGCGCGATGTCGGCTCACCGCAACCTCCGCCTCCTGGGTTCAGGCAATTCTCCTGCCTCAGCCTCCTGAGTAGCTGGGATTACAGGCACGTGCCACCATGCCCAGCTAATTTTTTGTAGTTTTAGTAGAGACGGGGTTTCACCGTGTTGACCAGGATGGTCTCGATCTCTTGACCTCGTGATCCACCCACCTCGGCCTCCCAAAGTGCTGGGATTACAGGCGTGAGCCACCGCGCCCGGCCTTACTTTGGGTTTTCTTAACATACATTCTTATTAGTGAATCCCTAATAGGACCAGTCAGATAACCAGCATCACTGTCAAAATCTGGCACTTACTGGCCTAGTTTGTTGTTCTTTCTTGCTAAGAACAACTTGGGTTGAGTGCGGTGGTCAAGAGATCAAGACCATCCTGGCCAACGTAGTAAAATCCGTCTCTACTAAAAATATAAAAAATTAGCTGGGTGTGGTGGCGCGTGTCTGTAGTCCTAGCTGCTTGGGAGGCTGAGGCAGGAGAATTGCTTGAACCTGAGAGGCGGAGGTTGCAGTGAGCCGAGATTGCACCATGCGCTCCAGCCTGGCGCCTGGTGACAGAGCGAGACTCTGTCTCAAAAAAAAAAAAAAAGTAATTCTCAGAAATTGAGAATCAAAATTTTTCAAACTTTGTAAGTGGAATTAACATAGCTAAAATATTTAAATGACTTCCAAAAGTCCCCACTCCATGTCTTTCCCACTTCCCCAAATGAGTTCCAGACAAGTAGAAGTTCTCATGGCATCTTTGGTTCTCCTACTCTGGGAGTGGCTGGTGTGAGGCAGAATAATCCCAAGATATTTGTCCCTGGCTTTCCTTTCTATCAGACTTTTTTTAAAAAATCTTTTAAGGCTGGTGAAATACATCTGTTAGAATTTTAAAAACTGTTTTCCTGTTACAGCTATTTATGGACTGGTAGCTTGCCCCTGTTTGTATCCATGTTACATCTGGAGGAACGACAGAGGTAGTAATGGAGACTCAAAGTAGTTAGAACTCTGCTGAAGTAACATTCAGTAATTTTTCCTTAAAAAAATCCTTGTGGTAAAATGGTCGCAGTAAAAATCCATCAAAGTTAATTTTTATTAAAACCAAAGCGCCAATCTGCCCCCAAAAATTAAAAACAAAAATACTGTTTCAGATGTCCTTCACAGTAAGTAAAACCTTCATGGAGAAAGATCTGTGATCTGATTGGCTAGCATTATTCTCACTCAGAAACATGACACCAGCATGTGAATTATGACAGTAAATTCACATCCAAGATGAATATGCAATAACGTTTATAAAAAGACATCGACTATTAATTCACTTAGGGCTATAAAATACTTTTTAAAATATGTACATGGTTATTTAAAAGGAGGAGCTCAATTTCAATAAGAAATTAAATGGCTGAACTCATGGTCACCATATAATGTTTTGAGACAGTTTTGTCCTTGTCGCCCAGGCTGGAGTGCAATGGTGTGTGATCTTGGCTCACTGCAACCTCCACCTTCCAAGTTCAAGCAATTCTCCTGCCTCAGCCTCCCGAAGTAGCTGGGATGACAGGTGCCCACCACCACATCCAGCTATTTTTTTGATATTTTTAGTTTAGACGGATTTTCACCATGTTGGCCAGGCTGGTCTTGAACTTCTGACCTCAGGTGGTCCATCTGCCTCGGCTTCCCAAAGTGCTGAGATTACAGATATGAGCTGGCATGGTAATTTTAATGGTCAATCAGATCACTCAATTTCTCTCATAACAAATACATATAAACCATAAAATGATTAGATCTTCAGTTTAAACCTAAAACCTTTTGTTTGTATGCAGCAACTGACTTTTGGGATTCACATGAATTTGGACCACAGCTCAGCAAAAGGAGGCGTTCCTGTTTTCACTGTCCCTCCTTGGAACTCAAATGTATGTGTCTAAGCACAGGAAGAACATAGGATATTGAAATGCAGTTTCATAAATGGAGCAATCGGCTGTATACTCACCCTTTTGACTATGGAGGTAACCTTTTTGAAAGCATTACTAATCAAGTTATACTACATCTGTACTACTGTGTGGTAGTAAAATATAGTAGTAGTAAAGCCAGTTCTTTAGCTTAGAAAAGAAAGTAAAACTACCACGATGAGAGGACATTTTCCTTTCCATTTTTTTTTTTTTTTTTTTTTTTTTAAGACGGGGTTTCACCATGTTGGTCAGGCTGGTCTTGACCTCCAAAGTGCTTGGATTACAGGCGTGAGCCACCATGCCCGGCCACATTTTTCTTTTCTTTTAGTATCTTCCACTTTCCTACCCTTCCATTCAGAAAAGACAAGCAGGGCATGTTAATTCAAAAGAAAAAATGATTGCAATGCCAGATACTGATCTAAAATGTAGTCTGTATTCAATATGGTCTACATCTGTTCATTTTGCCATAGCCGTATATGTCACTGGTTGAATACCTGGGTCTCCTTCTTGCAGGAAAGTCAGTTGCTTGGCACCTAGAAAAGCTATCATCAGTGAGGTGGAACTGAGTAAATCCTAGCTCCCACGTGGTCTGCTCATTCATAAGCCCTAGCCAAAGGTGTGGTAACATTCAGCAATGGGGGCCCACTGGGCTCCTGGTCTCAAATCCAGGGTGAAATCTCCCAGAGTTTACGGTCAAAGATACAGAGTGTACAAGTTCAGGTCAGGTTTACCTAAATCGCACTGAACTTTTGGAGGAATGCTTGATAAATGAGTGTGGGTTATAGTTAGTCTCATTTTATAGTTTACTTCTATTCGAATAGAATTTAAGGATGAGATCCACCTGGGAACACAGGTACTTGTAATAAAGTCAATGGATAGTAATCTAAAGACCATTACACAAGGGCTATTTACAGAGAGAAACCCAAGACCTTTACTTTTTTTTTTTTTTTTTTTTTTTTTTTTTTGAGACCGAGTCTCTGTTGCTCAGGCTGGAGTATGATGGTGAGATCTTGGGTCACTGCAACCTCCGCCTCCTGGGTCAAATGATTCTCCTGCTTCAGCCTCCTGTGTAGCTGGGATTACAGGTGGGGGCCACCATGCCTGGCTAATTTTTATATTTGTTGTAGAGACGGGATTTCACCACGTTGGCCAGACTGGTCTCAAACTCCTGACGTTGTGATCTGCCCACCTTGGCCTCCCAAAGTGCTGGTGGGATTACAGGTGTGAGCCACTGCATCTGGCCCCAAAACCTTTACTTTTAATATTATTAATTATGTATGACCAAATATGGTTCTGCCTTTCATTCAGCCAAAGATTGTTAGGGAGAAACAAATACTGTTTTAAAAGGTAAATATGGCACTGAATGTAATAGTGACAGTTTGGGGTTCATTAGGAAATTATAGTTTTACTCTCACAAGTTCTAACTCCCTTTGTGATGACTCTCAAGATAATTTATCTGCATTGCTGTTTTAACTCAGGAGACAAGTATGGAAGAACAAACTGTCAGACGAACAGTATTCTAAGATACCAATAACTTATTAGCAAAAGCGCGACAGCTGCTGTGCTAAAAATAAAATCCTAGAGCAAAGACAGACAAAAGGTGTATGCACAGTTACCAAAATCCATTCCAGCACTCTTTGGAGAACAAATGTCAAATGCATCTTTAAAATAGTGACAAACATTACCATGTAACACACATCTGGAAAAGTGATTAGGACTTTTTAACAATATATAATTGACATATTATGATTGAGACCTATATATAAAAAATGGGAAGCTATTGCTAACAAGTTTTCTTTTTGTATTTTACCTTTAGCAATACCTGAAAACCCAATGAATTAGCCACAGAACACTTTCCACTTTAAGTAAAGCCATGTAGATAAAACCAAGTCGTCTATGCTGAATTTATGGGGGGTGATATAATGCAAATAATAGCCTTCTTTCAAGTCAGCTCTTTTTATTCTATCATCTAAGGAGACAAATTTACTCCAGTTAATGATTTATAAAGGAAAATTAACTTTGGCAAACTAAAAATAGGTGTTTTGTCAAATGCTGGATTAGTGTATGGCACAGCAATTTTCTATCTTAATCTGGTTTCTTTCTTTGACATTTCATCTGATCCTAAAAAAAACACTGAACAAGTAAAAGGAATAAATTTGTATCAGTTGAACTGGCTAGGTCTGGCCCATTAAGAATATGCTTGTCCTCAGAATATAGGTCTTTTATATCTCTATCAGGAAAATCAGAATTAAGTCAGATCAAAGACTAAATGTGATGTTCTGACTCTTGAAAGAAAAACATGGTTGATAGATGCTTCAGGAAAAAAAAAATTCACTATTTCCCCCAACTGCCTGTTCCCAAAATCCCACAACGCGTTTTCATTCCAAATTATAGACAGATGAAAACCACAAAAGCGAGTCCCTTTTAGAGGAACTTATATTTAATGCCCAGTAGGGTATATGATGAAGAAACCTCACATCAAATACAGTGCACACTGCTGTATTTATATTTTGGGTAGTTCCACTAAAAGCTATACTGCAAACAAGGAGCCTGTTGTAAAAGGATCACCTGTATAGTTAAACCACACATAGACACACAGCAAAACCAAACATGTATACTTCCCTCAGTGGAAGAAGTTGAAAATCTAGATCTAGAAAGGTATGAAAAATGGCCTTGAAAACCTGCTATACCAATACCTCTATAGACAAGATAAAAACAAAAACATCAAATGTTTGTTTTCCTGATTTTTCTTTAATACAGTTGCCCTCTTACATAATGTACTATTAGGTGCCTTCTTAATAGCATCTAATCTACCCTTCTGTTGCACCGGTTGGCCTCCTGGGATGGAACTCTTGTTACCACCCACGTTTGTGGAGTACTGTTCTTCAGTATACTACGCCTAACCCATATGGTCAGGCCATGTACTTCACGGGTAGTGGTATTTCTAAAACTGAATTAGCGCACACATCCAAACCACATATACTTTTCAACTTAAGAGTTCATACAAAGTCTATTTCCTTTCTACAGTAGCCATCGCTCCAGATTGTAGTTTAAAAATCCAAGAAGTGGGAAGAATGTCTTTGTATTCAATGCTTCCTTCTTCCATCCCTTCTGCCTTCCCTCCATGTTCTTTCTTCCATTCATTTCCTTCTTTATTCTTTTTCTTAGTGATAAGAGGTTAACAAAAATGGGTTATTAAGGAAATCAAAGTCTAGGAAATGGCCAAAACAGAGATCAGAGTAGTCACAAACTCTTCTTTGTAGTGATGTTAAATTACTGACAAATGTTTATTGAAAACAAAAAAATCTAAAAACCAGCACAAGCCAGTGGTGCTGCATATTATTTAAGCAACTGGCGTTCTTCAATGCTTTTGAGGCGTTTCTTTCGGGGCTGTACAAAGTCATCATCTGAATCATCACTGTATTTATTATCTTCTGATTCATTCCTGAATTCTGGTTTAGGAAATCTTTTTTCTGGATAGAGGTTCTTTAGAAGTTCTTCAAAATAATTTTCAAGTTTTATACCAGCATTAGCTACTTCTGAATCAGGCTGTTAGGTAAAAATAAAAATATGAGTAAAACAAGGAATAAATCACACTTTTGGCTTCTGAGATTGTACATATTAATGAGCTGTTTTGAAGAGTATAGCTCATTTGAAATGCATAGTCATTGAAATAAATAGTCTAGGACTAGGCAAAGTCTACAGAAGGTGAGCTAAAATAAAAGACTGACTTATTTATTCTAAAAGATCTGGCTTATTCCAAAAGAAGGTGGTAATGGTAGGACTGTATTGCCAAAGATAGATCAGTTAAGATGCCGTAACCATAGGATCATGAACCAGGTATTTCTAGAACAAACTAAATGAAATATGTAGTACTTAGAATGAGTTAACAAACAGAACCGCCAGCAGCAAAAGTGTTCTGTCTGACAGATGTTTACATGAACTGACAGATGAGAAAGTTTTAAATTACAGCTATTTGGACCACATCCTTAGTATTTCAAGATCAACACAAAAAATAAGAAATAAAGGTGGGAATGATAAAAAATGTTTCTAGGTCAGAGAAAAATATTTTGTCTTTCAGTTATAGGCTGTGATTTGCATTTCAATCACCATCTAATAAACCTTTGAATATAAATGTGGGTAAAGTCATCTGAATTCTCCCCTGCATTCCCTGACCTGAAAAATTAGAAATTTATTCTAACACAGACCTCTTGGTATCCTCAATGTTGACAAGGTGTTTAGTGTAAAATGATTTTCACACTGCTATTCCTTCCTGCCCCATCCCATCCCCTCCCCTCCCCACCCCAGCCTCACCTCATTGAATTCAGCACAGTTTTGAAAGATCAATCTAAAATCAGCTACAAAATCTTCAGGTTTTGAGTACATGGAATAATCTTCTTGTAGTCTCTTCTTGATGGTTGACAAATCCATTGGATTTTTAATTATTTTGTAATAATCAGGCACCTTTCAAAATAAAATGAGATGCTATAATACAAATAGCTGAATTCTACATTGTCCTAAATACATTCTATAAGATGTGCTTATTTGGAATGTTCTCATTGCTCTTCTCTGTGCTATTTGTCATTAGTAAAGAAACACATTTAACAGTGTTTACAAGTGTGCACTGCACCTACCACACAATGGTAAAGGTTTGTGTGACTTTTTCCCAAAAAGTTTAACCAATTATTTTTGAGACAGGGTCTCTCTCTGTCACCCAGGCTGGGGTACAGTGGCACAATCTCAGCTCACTGCAAACTTTGCCTCCTGGGCTCAAGCAACCTCTTACCTCAGCCTCCTGTGTAGCTGGGGTTACAGGCATGCACTAATATACCAGGCTAATTTTTTTCTTGTAGAGACAGAGTTTTGCCATGTTGCCCAGGCAGGTCTCAAACTCCTGGGTTCAAGCAACCTGCCTGCCTTGGCCTCCCAAAGTGCTGGGATTATAAACATAAGCCACTGTGCCAAGCCCCAATTATTTTAATAAAAAAAATTATCTTCACATATTCTCTCTTAAATCATCTAGGTTTTCCTTGTTCATTATTAAATAAAAAGCAATTACTAGAGAGTATCATTTCTAGTAGAATCTGACATGTTTTTGCTGCATATACTATAGCAAGTGGTAAAGAGGAAGGACTTTGGATCTGGGTTTAATCCCCGGCTCTGCTGCTCAGTATCATGATCCTGGTAAGTTACTTAACCTCGCTGAACCTTAGTTTCTTCATATTCCAAATAGGGATAATCCTACCAAACGCACAGTATTTTGTAGAGATTAAATGAGATGATATTTATTAAGAAAAAGGGGGCTACTTTGTCACTGTTGTTGATATTAACATAAATGGAAGCCAAGATAATAAAAAGCGCAATTCAAGGTTACATTTTCAAGTTGGTACTGTTGTTTCAAGCCACTCTTAACTTCTTTACACTGCCTCTTTTGGGTACAAAAGATCCTTCTCCCTGGAAGTATTTATATCCTATATCCAGTTCTCAAAACCTGTTCTTAAGAAAGAAGCTATTTATCAGCTGAATTTATTTACTGAGCTGGTTTTCTTCTTCTAACTTGGGATTAATTTTTGAGATTTACCAACCTGTAGAACAAATTTATTAAATTTTAAAAGGAATTTCAGGCATTATAGAAGTTTTTTTTTTTTTTTTTTTTTTTTTGGGGGGTGGGGGAGGCAGGTACTAGGCCCTTTCCAGTACTCTAAAATTTGTGTTAAAGTCACATCAAACTTTCATTATGAACTGTTTTGAAGTCAATAGTGTGTGTACACACACACACACCCTTCCTCAACTTTTTTGTATTTTTAAAGTCTACTTATTTACTTGAAGTCTGGACCTATAAATAAAAATATAGAAAATTTTGCTGGGAGAGATGGATGATGTCTTTATTTCAAACAAAGTTCTTTTTCCAACAGCTTCGGAAACATGCCTAAAACTCCTGGGATACGATTAACAGAAATCATCCCAAACATCCCAGAGAACAGTAAGTAAAGTAAGAAAAGAAGAAAGAATACCTGAGAAATGAATACAAGTTTTGGGCCACTTACTGAAGTGTATCTATTTAGGATCAAAGCATTCACTATGTATTAATAAGCTTTAAGATTGAGATATTAAAAAGTACTGAAAAATGGCATTTAAACTAGATTCCCGTAACAAAATTCCAGAAAAAGCATTCCACTGTGTGAACATGCACAAATTGACATTAATACTTACAGTTAGAGGAACAGGGTCTTGAAAAGCCAGGCTCATTTCATGGCAGTAAAGAAATAAAAGTAGGCGCTCACACTTCTAAGCAAAAATAAAAATTGAGATAAAATATTATAAAACAATTCATGGCTTATTTTAAATAATCTCAGAGGCCCCAAAATGTCAGACTAAAAAAATCTGATGAATACAAAATTATTGATTCTTGGGGTTTTCTTCTCCTTCCCAGTCATTAACTGAACTGTACTAGACAATTTAGGGTGTATGTGATATTTGACAGTCCCTGTAATTAAATGTACTAAGACAGTATCACTTATAAACCCATTTCAAGTTCTCCAACAATAAATTTATACTTATTGCCCCAGTCTATTATAAATTACTAATAGTCAATAAAGGAAGAACCCATGTCTCTTAGGAGAACGGGAGGTGGAACCTTTTCAATGTGCATCTAGACTTAAGGCACCTCTCTGCATGTAGAAGGTCCAACCATGTGCTCTGCTATTCATACTTCCCTGCTTATGGGTTTATCCCAGTAGACACTGAGTAGTACTGGCAGTGAATGGGTATGTGCCCTCTTGCATAACAACTTCCATACTATTATTCTACTTAATAATTTTGCAAAGGGGTTTCTTTGGTAACAAAGTGTTGACTGGGTAGCTGTAAATGTTATTTACAGTTAAATATATCGGGTGGCTTTGATGCATAAGCCTAGTCCCATTCAGTTAAAAAAAAAAAAAAAAAAAAAAAAGGAATTATTTCCAGGAAGAGTGAAGAAAAAACCCAGCTCCTTGTTGGCAATCCTGAGGAAAAAACTTATCTATGGTAGAAATAAAACAAAATAGAAATTTACTTAAGGTAGATTAAATTTAAAAGTCAAGGTACATATTCCATTTTGTTCAGGTACAATAAGCTTCTATAAAATACATGCATAATTCTATGATTTTTTTTTTTAATTTAAAGAAAGTTTGTAAGATTCATATACCTTTGTGAAAAAAAATACACCTAAATAAGAGGATCAGTATAAAATCTGATTGGATATACACCTCTTTGATGAAAGGCACCACAGTAAAATATTGCACTACAATATAATAATGGATCTTACCAAAAAAATTGTCTAAAAGACTTACCCTTTTATCTATAGGCGTTAATTTAACAAGGCCTTCAGTTTTCCTTTTTTCTGAGTTGTGACTGGGAGCATCACAATCATATTCAACTTCTGGTTTAGATAAGTCTCGGCAGAAAGTGCAAATCCACTCTCCACTGTTGGGGACAATGTACTTTTGAATTCCTAATGCATCATTTCCTCTCTTCACTATTTCCCTTTCCCACCTCCTCCATTATATCTATGATACAGAGTTGTTTATTTGGCATGAATTTTAATCATTGAGCATTTACCACATACCTACTAGGTATACTGCACCATGCTGAAAGGAAACAGCAGAAATATAATGCAAGGCCCTAAGTTAATATCAAAATCTAGTTAAGAAGGCATGAGATACATATATGGGAAAAAAAACACCTAAATAAATTAACACATTAATCTAGGGCTCACATATCTAGGGCATAATTGAATTTGTCCCCCAAAGGATTCAGGAATCAGCAAAGCTCTTTGTACTGTTCCTGTTACTCTAAGTTTATAAAATTAAATTTTCAAAACTACAGCCTTCAAAGAACTGAGAGATCAACCCATTGGCTCTTAACCATCTTGGTCATGCTGATGATCATCATCATGCCACAGGGTTTGAGAATTTACTTGAATTACTTATAAATGATATTTTGGTGCCTGGCAAAAATATGTAATAAACTGTGGTAGCTGTTATGCATAAAGACATTATTCCTTATGGTGACCCCCTGTGATGATTTAAAGGACGTGTTTTTTTTTTTTTTTTTTTTTTTTCCTCCTCATATTGACTAGGGAGAGGGTCTTGCTCTGTTGCCCAGTGTGGAGTGCAATGGTGCAATCACAGTTCACTGCAGCCTCAACCTCCCAGGCTCAACCAATCCTCCCACCTCAGCCTCCTGAGCAGCTGGGACTATAGGCATGTACTACCACACCTGGCTAGTTTTTTAAGTTATTTGTAGAGACAGGGTCTCCCTATGTTGCTCAGGCTGAATGATTAATTTTTGGAGAGAAGCACAAGGAGTAAGTGGTAGGGTATGGGAAACCCTAGACTATTCATTTGGATTTTGGAATATACATTTGTGCCAAGTGGAATTTAAGTTTTTACAAAGGCTTTCTGTTAAAATAATTTTCAAAAGTTTATAGTAAAACAACGTGGGAAGGAAAGTACTATCTTACCTTGGAAAATTTGTCAATGTGGGCACATGACAAGAAAGATGGAATACTTTGGGGCACTTTTCACAGCACAGGAGTTCCCCTCCATTTTGACAAACTGCACACCAGTCCTCATTTGGGTCATCTTCTTTCCTTGTCTCTCCAACGTGAAGGGGTGACTTCTGGGAAGGATCCAGCCACTCAGACTTTCCATTCGAGGAATTCTCCTGGTGAAGTCCAGGTTGATCTCCTGTACTATCAGGGGCATCTGATCTTAGCACAGTCTCCTCAGAAGTAGAGCTCTGACTGCTATTTAAGAGCAGGGAGGTGAGTATGCTTCTTGGATAATTGGCCTGCAGTAGATTAAAAAAAATTTTTTATCACTACTGCAATTCTGAATTATAAACCACTCTGTAATGAGCACCTGGCTGCTTCAAAAGAATCTTAATGAGAATAGTATATGTTTACTGCTAACTGGTATAGAAGACATGGACCTCTACTAAAAAATATCAAGATATAAAAAAAATCTTTGACTCTGCTGATGGCTACAGAAATTAGAAAATGGGTGGGGAGGGTGGAAAATCAACCACATGACCTATAATATACTTCACTGGAACTGTTCATTCAACTTATACCTAAGATAGAAAAGTTGTAAGATGAATCTAAATTTTCTGTTGGAGCCCAGGATGGCAAGAATTTCAAATCAATAACAAAAATTATCTCCTTCAAATATGTTTTCAAAAATTTCAAAGTAATAACTGTAGATATAGTTAAAGCACTCATTCCTTTGAAGTACTATTTTCAAATCTAGCTTTTTCTTCTGCCGTTTACCTCCATATTTCTAAACAAAATGATTGTTAAAAATTGCAATACATCTATGATCCTTACTAGTAGAAGATCAAGAGATTAGGTTTTTACATCCTGATTTTCCCACCTCGTTCTCCTTCCATTTATACGTACACAAAGCCACCACCACCATTCACCCCATCTTTTTAACATCATTTTTATGAAGCATTGATTTTTTAGTTGGTAGGTGCCAGTATAACTGTTTATTGCCAGTATCTATTCCAACTGACCAGAATTTGTACTGGTTAAGTATTCTGAAAAATCACAATTTTTGGTTAAATGCATATTCAGTTTATATCCTGATTGTGTCACAGTTCTAGTTACATTTGTACTCTGGTGTTTGTTTATTTCATTATGACTATGTAAATATTGTTCACTGCAGACCCCAAAAATGTACTATGACATTTTTTTTTTGTAAACTTCTTCTTTCACTAAGACTCAGTAATTACCTTATTTTTTCAGTTGCTTGTTTTTCTAGGTACATATTTCTATGTCATTCTCACAATCTACAATAGGAGATTCTCAATACTGTTGAAGTCTTTTTCCCCCTTTAGATATATCCCTTTGAGTCCTATGTCTTCCTGCTACAGACTGTACTGCACAAGCTGCTGCTGCTGCTGTACTGGGGCTTGCCCTTTTCTTCTGTGTCAGATTCCATTTTTGGGATCTTATATCTTCCTCTTTCTTGTTTTACTATATTTTTGATGATTCATATCATCAATTATCTTTGTGAGAATGAGTACAGAAGAATTATTTTAAGAAATTGAACAAAAATGTATTTTCATGTCTGATTAATAATTTGCCTGGGTATAAAACTGGTTAGAGAATATCTCATTTTCAACTTTCCAGGTTCCATATTTGAGCCTCAGGTTTTTAAAAACCTTTCTGTTTTTCCATCTTTGCTTTTTAATTTACTGAGAGTTTAATATAACATTACAAAAAAAAAAAACCCTCCTAAGAGCTATTTAAAAGTTTCTCTCACCCTGCCCACCATGCATAGGAATAGTATTGCAAGCCTTCATATAATTACATTTTGAGTCCTGGATTCTTCATCTGATTCTTGCTTCACTATAACAACAGGGAAATCATAATTTTCAGGTGGTCCACTGTTTTCTTGTTTTATTCGAATTGGCTCCAACATTACCACTGGGACTTTGTGTGTCGAATCAGCTCCTGCTGGTTTGCTGGAAGAGCCAGAGCTATAAGTATGAAAGAGAAGAAAAAACCATCTAAGAATGTGAAGCTAAATACCTCATAAAAAAGTATAACAACAACTTTCTAAAATAATACTGTATTTTTACAACAAGAATTACATCAGGAACTAATGCTACATAACTGAAATGTAACTGCTCTGAGTGTCATTTATGATAAAAATGTTTTATATATTAACCTATTTAAATAGTTAAACATCTGGAAAGATATTTCAATAAACCTAAATTTTTTTAAAAACTGAGGCTTTACAATTAGGCAACCAGATTTAATATCTTAGAACTGGCATTTGATTTTAGGCTTTCTCATTTCCTTCTTTAGTCAGCAGCAAAGTAAACTCTAGGCTCACATTAACACTTTGTCAGTGTCTAAAGACAATGAAATAATCATTTATTTAAACAATGTTATTTAAAGAAGGTAATGGGACAAAAACCTTTTACAGATATTCCCTATGTTCTCATGGGATTAAAGGCAAACTTTTCTCCCTGAAACAATTCTGCCACATGATTAAGAAAGTAAGAATTGGGTTCACTAGCTAGGAGGAATTTTTAGGCATAATGCAGGGAAGGAAGAGCAGCTGCTGAAAACAGAATTTCAATAACTGCGCATTTATTTATTTTAAAGTAGAATCAATTTTTCATCATGAGATCAAATTAGCATAAAACTATCTTGTTCCTAAGTTTGTGTTTCCATATAATATACTGTGTTATATCTATTCATTTTTATGTTTTCCTTGCTATTATGTGAATATCAGACATTTCTTATTTTCAACATATATTCTTCTATCTTCAAAGGTAAATTTGTACTTTAATCTCTTAACTAATTTATTAACTTAAAATAGTCATTAAAATTTTAATTAAAAATAGAAGAAATTGTTCAAAATATATTGAGTATCAAAACATGTTGAACACTGGCAATAGAAATCTAGTTAGAGATTTTATGTACTAGAAAATACGGTTTAGTCAGTTTACCTTCCTCGGCTTCCAACGCTGGAGGCACTAGGTGAACGTATTGGGGGGTGTACACTAGTCATAGTAACAGGTCCTGAGCAGGGAGAAATCAGACATAAAACAAAGGAATAATTATGCACTGAAGTCCTATTGAATGTGTTAACTTAGCACTATATTGAAACTAGGAACCATAATGAAATTCTATGAAACAGTAGTTGCTGAATTTTCAGTAGTCTGTTACAGCCTGTTATACTGGCAGGGTTTTTCAACCTCTGCACTACTGACTTTTGGGCCAGATAATTCCTTGTTGTGGAGGAATGTCTGTGCATTATAGGAAGTCTGGCAACATCCCTGGCCTCCACCAATTATTAGATACCAGTGGCATCTCTCTATACTTCCCAGCTTGAGGTACAACAATCAAAAATGTCTCCAAACACTGCCAAGTCTTTCTGTATTAGAGTAACAGGGGTAAGACCTTAGTGAGACCCTAGTGGCAGTGAAAGCTACAGAAGACAACAGAAGGTGGTATAGGTTGATAGAAAAAGGAGTTCAAAAAAGAAAACCATGTAAACAAAAATGAGACCAACTAATGGAAGACACAAAGTCAGATCAATGAGTTCAGACTTGAGGCAATAATCAAAAGAGGGATTCTGGACTACTGCCCTAAAAATGATAATAAAGAAGCTATGCTCTGGTGGCACTGTAGACTAGAACAAGGAAAATCTAACTAAAAGCAGCCAAGAAAGAAGAAAACAAAACCTGCTGCTGATAATTTTGATTTGAATTGATGAAGGCCCAAACTAAACAGTAGCAGTAGGAACGCAATGCAAGTGGGAAGTAGAAAAAAAATTCAAAGTGACAAAAGTTCTAAAGGGTCTGATGAACAACAGGATATGGTTGATAAAATGAAGAGAAAAAAATTCCATTTCATTTGTTTGTAAACTCTGGAGAATTTCATTTAAAATTAAAACAAAAGGCCTGGACAACAAAGACCTGTCTCTACAAAAAAACTAAAAATAAATTTAGCCAGGCCTGGTAGCACATACCGATAGTCCTAGTTACTGGGAATGGTAAGGCAGGAGGATGGCTAGAGCCTGAGTTTGAGGCTGCAGTGAGCCATGATTGCTACACCCTGGGTGACAGAGTGAGACTTTGCTTCAAAATGAATCAGAACAATGGCTATTTATACTCTTCTGATAATACAAGAATACATGCTTCATTTTAGAATAGCTGAAAACTTTTTATAAAGATATAACATTCAAGCAGCCTATAACTTCTGCATCCATATATAAACACTGGTAAGGTTCATATATATCTTTCCAGTTTTAACATACTTTTACATCTTTTATATGGTTCTACATACTTGTTTTCACTAAACAGTATACCATGAACATGCCATAAAACTCTATATAAGGACTGTTTGAATAGCTAATTAATACTCTGTTTATAAGTGAGCACATTCTAATTTATCATTCTCTTATATTTAGGTCATTGCTTCAAAATTTTTACTGCAAATAATGGCTTTAAAAAAAAAAAGGAAAACAATGAAGCTTTATTAGCATTAGGCTCATTCCTGGGAACATAAGGAGGAGGGGTTGAGATGCAGTTCACATACCAACCCAATTAGGTTTCAATTAGGTTTGCTGAAACCAGGAGCCAATCAGAAAAAACATGACATTTACAAAACTCTGAAATAGTTGAATAGCAACTGTGTTGACTAATTTTAAGATCCCTTTCAAAAAGTAATTTGTCCATTATTTGGAAGCCGCCTGTCTTGATTATAGTACTGGGGAATGGAAACTGGAATAATAATAATGCTTTAGTAAATCATAATAATATAAGTATTAATAAATATGTTCTGCCTATCCAGTTTCTAATTATTTCCTTATAATTGGAGTATTAAAATGGAATTACCATGTTCAAGGGTACATACACTTTCTAAGCCCCTTAAAGCAAATATCCTACTAGGTAATATACATATAAGGTACTTTGCCCAGTCTGGCTCACAGTCCAATACCGGGTAAATGTAAACCTTAGTAACATTGCTATGATGGTTTCCAGAAATGTTTTGACAAGTCAAACACATCCCACCTATGTATGAGAGTACCTCTTATTACATTTTCAGTGACTACTTTTATTATTTAAATCTTAACTAATTCAGTAACTTAGAAATTATATCTTGTTTGGATTTTTCTTATGATCATTAGTAAGAATGACATTTTTTGTCTCATCTGCTATATTGGCTATATGTATTTCCTCTTTAGGGAATTACCTACTTACTGATCATGTCCTTTGGCAATACCACAAATGTTCCTTATTTGTATAAACTTGTCATATGATAAACAGTTTATCTGCCATATTGTCCTAAGTTTGTTTAAAATAAGCATCCCCATTTAAATTGTGTCCATGTGACTGGTGAGTGACTTCAGAAATTCTCCTCTTTTCATATTTTGGTTTAAGGTACCTATGTCCTCAGAAGTAATATTACAGTTTTCCTCTCAGAGAAAATGAGTAGGTATGTTAAGATTCACAAACGAAATTAAACACCAAACAAATCACCAAAAGAGTGATAACTCTACTTATTGTCACTAATAAATTTTGATCCTAGGCAAATTACATCTTAAAAAAGACCACATCACAGGCAACTTATCAATAAGAGAGAATATAATACTGATTTCCCCCCTGGAAGTACTATAATGGCTGGAAGTTCTGTTGAAATTGAAAAAGTAAAGAAGGTCTGCTGTGATGGCTTATGCCTAATCCCAAAGCTCTCCGAGGCCAAGGCAGAAGGATCGCTTAAGGCGAGAAGTTCAAGACTGTCTTCTACCAAAAAAACAAAACAGCCACGTGTGGTAGAGCAGCACACCTGCAAGGAGTCTCAGTTACTCAGGAGGCTGAGGTGGGAGTGAGTCTGCAGTGACATATGATCACACCACTGCACTCAAGCCTGGGCAACAGAGCAAGACTGTGACTTGAAAGAAAGAATGAAAAGATAAAGAAGTTTAACTTTTGTTTACTTTGAAAGCATACTAATTTTAAATAGTTGAAAAACTCAGATTAAGCATCAAACAAGGAGGAGAAGAGGGGTAATTTTTTATTCCAAGTAAAGTGAAAACTAGAAAACCTTTCACAATCAAAAGAAGTCCACTTTACCTGCTAGGCCTGGAGATGGCACTGATGAATTTGGTGACTGGACCGTTCTGTTTGAGGGTGGTCTTGGCTGGCCATGCTCTATATTAGTATCTTTCCTCACAATATTGTCCAGTATAATAGTACTTGAACAGTCAATCTTACAAGAAAAGAAATTATTTCAGGCATTCTGACTTTGCAAGTTAAAAGCTACTTTTAAATTTATAAGAAAACGTCAATAATTATTATGAAACAAAAAATAAATACCACATTTGAGAAGTTCTAATAAACATTTTCCCCATAAACAATGCTGAATAAAGGTTTCCACTATCTTAGTATTTCACCTTAGTAAAATATTGAGGACACTATTTCAGAAACGAGCCAAAAGAAAGGAGTATCAAGTCATTCACATTCTTAAAAATTGAAAAAAAATTTCTTCATTTAAAAATAAACAACAAAAGGTTGCTATATGAAAAACACAAACTTGGTGAGAAGACTATCACAATTTCACATTTCTTGCAAATCTCTAATGTCTCCCTAAACAGCATTCAATCTATTGTAGTGTACGGTTTTCAATCTAGCCTCACACAGATAGGACTTAGTAGACCCTCTGAAGGGGATACTTACACAGACTGATGCTCTGCTCTGGGTATGTGCTAGATAGGTGAAGTCCATATATCTCCAGTACTAACCTCAACAGTAATGTATCACTAAATACATTACTGTTGTTTTGTAGGAGAAAAGGTGAACCCTACAGATTCTTGCTTTACGCTGGGTGGGGTGGCTCATACCTGTAATCCTAGCACTTTGGGAGGCTGAGGCAGGTGGATCACCTGAGGTCAGGAGTTTGAGACAAGCCTGGTCAACAAGGCAAAATCTTGTCTCTACTAAAAATACAAAAATTAGCGAGGTGTGCTGGCACACACCTGTAATTCCAGCTACTCGGGAGGCTGAGGAAGGAGAATCGCTTCCAGCCGGGAGGTGGAAGTTGCAGTGAGCTGAGACTGCACCACTGCATTCCAGCCTGCACGACGGGAGTGAGACTCCATCTCAAAAAAAGAAAAGATTCTTGCTTGAATGTAATAGGAATACAAATAACACTGCTTTTCCTAATTCATTGCCAGGCTAAAATACTTACAAATCCCTAATAAGAGTTTAACACTTTAGACACTAAAATTATTTCATGCCTACAAAGAACAAATTTTCCACCAATGTTTTTGTGCTTTTCCAGTTCAATTCTTTAACACAGTTTGTATATAATGAATTAATTTCTTGCTTATGCACCTAGAATGGTACTAGTTATGAAACATCTTTGGGAGAAATCAGAAAATGGTCACTCATTTCAGTTTATTCTGTAATCCAAATGAGGAATTTCAGGTAATAAGGTTCACATCTGAGGACTGCAGAGCAAAAAGCAGAATGACAATTTTACTTTCTGTGGGTTCTCTTTCATGGGGGCAGGGGAAATCAGGGCAGGTGGTTAATACACAGGGTCATTTTTGTTTAAATATTCTTTTGGCAATACATGGCCAGTATTTCTCAGAGAGTACAAAATGTACTAGAATAACTAAATTTGTGAGAACTTAAACAAGGAAAGTTGTTTACATTGTGGAATAATCCTAAAAGCCAAATAAAACTATGGGGATTAGATGTAAGTTTTCCTATGTACCATCCATGCATGAAAAAATAGATGTATTATACTCATTTAAAGTATACAAAACTATTTAAAAAATGGAATGATTCTGGTAAGATTAACAATGCAACTATTAGGAAATATGAATTGATCCAATTTGAAAAGCAAATTAAATAATGAAAATAAAGTTCTTTTCACAATCTTATAGGTAATTTGATCCAAGTAAGGAATACATGATATTTCCTAAAAGCTTCTTAATGTTAGGTTGTGTATGTATATGTGCACGACAGTCAGTTACCTAACCTGAGATTAAAAAAGGACCAAACACAGAATCAACATATACATGGAGATCTGTCTACAGAATGTAGTAATTTCTGCCTATGGAAAAGTCACACTGGCTGGGTATAGTGGCTCATGCCTCTAATCTCAGTAATTTAGGAAGCCAAGGCAGGAGGATCCCTTCAGCCCAGGAGATCAACACCAGCCTGGGTTAACATAGGAAGTCCCCCATCTCTATTAAAAATAAAAATCATTTAAAAATATAACAATAAATAAAAAGTCATACTGACAAAGAGTTTGGAGAGTGAGTTTAATTTACATATAATATAAACCAGAGGTAATTTTGCACTTCTCAATATGATCTAACAGGATTTCTATTACCAAACTTGTCTTCATCTCTTCTGATGTCCAGCCATTCAACTTTCCAGTGTATCTTTCCACATCCTTTCTTTTCTTCTTTCCCAGCTTAGATTCCATGATCCATCATCATAATCATTCATTTACAAATACCTTTAACTCTGGTGCCTTGAAAGACATTAGGTTATGTGTACAATGTTCATAACCTTTTTATTTTTACTACTGTTGTAATATTCTAAAGGATTAACTTGTAAAAACCTATAATGTAACAAATTCATGCCTTCTACTACATTCAAATTCACTGACAATTTTCTTTCTTTCTTGAGACAGGGTCTCGCTCTGTTGGTCAGGCTGGAGTGCAGTGGCATAATCTCAGTTCACCACAGCCTCTGCTTCCCAGGCTCAAGTGATTCTCCTGCCTCGGCCTCCCATATAGCTGGGATTACAGGCATGTGCCACCATGCTTGGTTAATTTTTGTATTTTTTGGTAGAGATGGGGTTTCACCATGTTGGCCAGCCTGGTCTCAAACTCCTGACCTCCAGTGATCCATCTGCCTGGGCCTCCCCCAAAGTGCTGGGATTACAGGAGTGAGCCACTGCACCCGGCCGACAATTTTCAATAGAAATTAGTATAAATTTTGTGTTTACTTACATCTGGAAGAGAGGGAAGATTATAAGAACCTCCCACTGGTGAGCTCAAATCGATCATAGGTGAACCAAAAGCCTTTCCATCATATCCTGCTGCACTAGTAATTGTGGGGCTGGAAGGAGTAGAGGATGTGCTGTTGGTAGTTGATGGGGCACCCTGTCCACTGCTGATCTGCCACTGTAGTAACAAGAAAGGAAAAAAAAGGGCTATCAACAAGCTTATAAAAATATAACGTCTATCTAATCACACACATACAAAATGAAGTAGAAGAGTGCAACTGTAATTTACATGGAAGGTGAATGGGACAGGGAGACTGCATTAAGTATGTATAATTTTCATTAATCCTGTAAAAACAAAAAACAACCAAACAAGAAAGCACTGATTTTTGCTGGAAGACAACATGTAGTATATACCAGAAAATCGCAGTACACAATTGACAGGTTTATACATACTGGAAAAAAAAAAAAGTAAATATATACATAGCAACTACAAGGTAAAGATGGAGGGTTGAAAGCATACATTTCTTCTATCCCTGTCTGAAACACTTGAAAATAATAAGCTACAGACCAGTGCTTTCAGGATTTTATGTTCCTCTTTCTCATATATGAACATAATTAGACCTCGATAAATATCTGAGGAAAGTACTGTCAGTCATGCTGAGATAAACATATTAACTAAGATGATGACAGGCATGCTGAAGTATGTAGAGGTGATGCATGCTGCTGTCTGCAATTTACTTCAAAACCTATTGAAAAATATGATGGGCCAGGTGCGGTGGCTTGCGCCTATAATCCCAGCACTTTGGGAGGCTGAGGTGGGCAGGTCACTTGAGGTCAGGAGTTCAAGACCAGCCTGGCAAACATGGTGAACTCCATCTCTACTAAAAAATACAAAAAATACAAAAATTAGTCAGGTTTGGTGGTGGGCATCTGTAATCCCAGCTACTCAGGAGGCTGTGGCAGGAGAATCACTGGAACCCAAGAGGCAGAGGTTGCAGGGAGGCAAGATCGCACCAGTGCACTCCAGCCTGGGCTACCGAGAGCAAGACTCCACCTCAAAAAAATGAAAAAACGAAAGAAAAATAGGAGGACTTGATGAATAGACAAAGGAATAAATATGCAATAAGGCAAGTAGAACAAAATTTGAACAAATGTTTCCTATGTAATTCTTTCAATTTTTGTTATGTTTGAACATTTTCATGCTGGGAGAAGGAAAGTAACTAAGCGGTACTGCAAGATGCTGTATTTTCCCAAACACAGTCATTCATAAACGAACAGCGCTATATAGAGAGACAGTGTCTGAAACATTTTAATTTTGAAAAACCTAATTTATATATTCCATTGTAAAAACTACATACAGAAGCATATGAAGTTGCATATGAATGTCCTCTTTACCACCTACTCCTTCCTCATATTCCTCACCCCTATCCGCCCCCCCACACCTTTTCCTCCTTCTCTACCAAGAACAATCAGTTGGTGGATCTTTTCAGGTTTGTTTCCTATGTACATGATGAGACTGGAGGAAAATACACACAAACAAATAATACCTCACAAAATTCTACATGTTTTTCCTCACATAATTTACTCAGAAAATCATATCTAGATTATTGATTTTCTTAATATCTGAAAAGTATTCCACTGTATGAGTACATTCTAATTTGTTAAACTCATTTACCACTAAAACCAATTTTCCACTAGATTCTTTCCTGGCTTGTTCATTTACTTATTCATTCATGTTTACATTTTTGGTCAACAACCATTTTAAAAACGCTGAGTATCTACTCATTAAAATATAATAAATAGGGAAGAGATAAAGTAAACGCTTGAGTATGGAATATGTGGTAGGTGCTTGTAGATACTTAAGAATAAATTCTCAACATAACTCTGGCAAGATACTCATTTTATAGCTGAGGCAAGTAAAATGTGAAAAGTCACAAAATTATTAGGAAAATAAGTAGAATTTAAGGACAAAGTGAAGCTTGGGTCCTTTTTACTTTCCTTCTCATGATGAATTAAGTATGAATTTTATTTAAAATAATTAAAATATTAAAATTTAGTGATGATATAGCAAAGCCAAATTGATTATACAAACTTATGTATAGACACAAAGTATGCATACTTTTATAATAAAATATTTATATGATTTTATTAAAATGAATGTTATGGAATTATGAAAATTGCATCATCTTTATTTTAGTCTTGCAGGAAAAAACCAAAATCAGTCTACAATCAGCTGGACAGGAGATTGTCACAGGAGCTTTTTAGAAGACAAACACTGTGATAACTTTTACTTTAAGATAATGTAAAACACAGAAAATATTTTTACCTGAAGACATTAAGGATATAAATAATATGGCTGGGTATGGTGGCTTACGCCTGTAATCCCAGCACTTTGGGAGGCTGAGGCAGGCAGATCACTTGAGGCCAGGAATTTGAGACCAATCTGGCCAACACAGTGAAACCCTGTGTCTAACAAAAATAGAAAAATTAGCCAGGCGTGGTAGTGGGTGCCTGTAATCCCAGCTACTCTGGAGGCTGAGGCAGGAAAATTGCTTGAACCTGAGAGGTGGAGGTTGCAGTGAGCTGAGATCATGCCACTGCACTCTAGTCTGAGTGACAGAGTGAGACTCCGTTTCAAACAAACCAAAAAAAAGAATATAAATAAGCTGTATTATATTAATATATATTAATTTCTTTTTTTTTTTTTTGGAGATGGATTTTCACTCTGTCACCCAGGCTGGAGTGCAATGGCACAATCTCAGCTCACTGCAATCTCTACCTCCCTAGTTCAAGCAATTCCCCTGCCTCAGCCTCCCAAGTAGCTGCGATTGCAGGTGTGAGCTACCATGCCCAGCTAATTTTTTTTTTTTTTGTATTTTAAGTAGAGACAGAGTTTCACCATGTTGGCCAGGCTAGTCTTGAACTCCTAACCTCAGGCACTCCATCCGCTGGGATTACAGGCCTGAGCTACTGTGCCTGGCCTAAATATTAAACTTTATCAGATATATATGTATTGCCTCTTGAAATTGTGCCATAACTAAGTTTGTTTCCAAGAAATCTTCTTGAGACACTTCAAAGGTTCATTTATTGTTCTATTTTGTAGAATATAACTTATATTTGTTAGAATACTTTTATCTTAGGAAATTTAATATACTCACCTGAAAGTTATCCATACATAATTAATACCTATGGCTCATTGTTTATATTGGACCATCACTTCTACATAAGCGGTTTGATTTCTCTTATTGATGAAGCATCAAACTTTGCAATTCACATTTATTTTAATATATGAAAATGAAATCTTGCTCTTGGCTCTTTATAACCTGTTACTTAATCTATAAATTCAATGTGATTTGAAAGTAGAAAGCAGCAGAATAAGCAACTGAGAAAAGGAAGTAGATACATACCTGTTTTATGGCTTGTTGAGCCAAGAAAGCCATTTGTAGAGGGTTGGGCTTTATTGCTTGTCGTGGTATATTCTGATTTGGTGGATATCTCAGTTGTTGAGGATGAGGAGGAAGAACTGGTCCATTGGGTTTGGGGCTGTGATTCTGAAAGTTTATCAAACGTGGAGGGGGTTGCTAGAAAAAAACAAATTAAACGGATTTAGTAGCAATCTTCTGAAAAACAAATGATAAATCTCTCTTATAAAACTTTTACAGAAACACAGAACTCTGCCACAGATCAATGAATTACCAAGATTACAAGGGAATAAGGAATGGGGGATGGGCAGACTTTCAGAATTTGTGTAAACAACTTTTTTTTTTTTTTTTTTTTTTTTTTGAGACGGAGTTTCGCTCTTGTTACCCAGGCTGGAGTGCAATGGCGCGATCTCGGCTCACCGCAACCTCCGCCTCCTGGGTTCAGGCAATTCTCCTGCCTCAGCCTCCTGAGCAACTGGGACTACAGGCACACGCCACCATGCCCAGCTAATTTTTTGTATTTTTAGTAGAGACGGGGTTTCACCATGTTGACCAGGATGGTCTCGATCTCTTGACCTCGTGATCCACCCGCCTCGGCCTCCCAAAGTGCTGGGATTACAGGCTTGAGCCACCGCGCCCGGCCCCGTAAACAACTTTTTAAAAATAATCTCATTAGGAAAGAACCTTGGGAGACGGATTGCCACCTAAGTTTTGTAAGTAGGTTGTACCAGAATTGGACCTAGGCCATGTTGGAAAGTAGGTAAAATATATCTTTGGTATCCTTCTAAGTCCTTCATGATTATCTTTCACCAAGAACTATACTCTTGAAACCTCCAAAAAAAAAAAAAAAAAAAAAAAAGGGATGGTAGAATTATAACTGCTAACATTTACTGAGCAGTTAAGTGCCAGGTACTGCTTTAAGTGCCTCACATGTATCCACTAATTTAATCATAACAATAATATTTGAAGCACAGGTTATTTCTATTTTGTAGATAAGAAAACTATAATAAAGTACAGAAAATTTAGTCACTTGTCCAAGATTAACAGACAGTAAGGCATGAAGCTCGGATTTGAACAAGTAGTCTGGCTCAACAGGTCTACTCAAAAATGAAGAAATCATTAATAATGAAAATAGCTGATGTTAATGAAACTTAATAACCTTTAGATCTTACTGAGCCTGCCAGGCATTTCACATATTATTATGTCATTGAGCCTTATTAAGTAGGTATAATTACCTTTGCTTTGCAAATTAGGAAACTAACAGTTAGAAAACATAGATAATTTGAAAAAAGTCACATAGCTAATAATATCAGGCATCACACCCAGGCTTTAATAAAAATCTAGTCTGCGGCTGCGTGCAGTGTATCACACCTGTAATCCAGGCACTTTGGAAGGCCGAGGTGGGCGGATCATGAGGTCAGGAGTTTGAGACCATCCTGGCTAACACAGTGAAACCCCATCTCTCTAAAAAAAAGTTTAGTCTGCCATATCATTATCAAAACATGTTAAGATACTGAGTAATTACAACTTTGAGGATGAGTCTCCTTAGAAGAAAACACATTTTCTGTTTTTTTTTTAATTTTTTTTTTTTTTTTTGAGACAGCGTCATGCTCCCATCTCGGCTTACTGAAACCTCCACCACCCCACTCAGTTAAGCGATTCTCCTGCCTCCACCTCCCAAGTAGCTGGAATTATAGACATGCCCGCCATGCCTGGCTAATTTTTGTACTTTTGGTAGAGATGGGGCCTTGAACTACTGACCTCAAGTGATCTGCCCATCTCAACCTCCCAAAGTGCTGGGATTACAGGCGTGAACCACCGCGCATGGCCAGAAAACATATTTAAAAAAAAAAAAAAAAAAACTCCTTAAGAACAACCCTGGTTGATTACAGAAGGCTGGGTGAAGGAATCACAAACAAGGCAAGGGCTAGTAAGGCAAGCCTACTCTGGGCTCATAAATACTAGCTCTGGAAATTGAGATCAGTCCTAGAAGAAAAAGGTAGCCTTATATGCCAGTATCTTTTTGACTGATTCTTTCTACAGTTGGAAATGTATTGCAAAATAAATATTCTTTTTAGCATATCTTAACTGTATGATCACAGCTTCTCAAAGAGAAGCCTATTTCCCCCTACATTCACAGGGGGACAAATAAACAAGTAATTTTTAAGGTTGAAACAGCAACACCTGAAACTTGGAAACTGTGAAGGCAGACAGCTAATAAGTATAGTCCTATCTGCTTTATTATTTTTCTTTTTCCTCCCATTTTTGGAAGTTACTATCCTCCCCTGGGTCAACTGCTTCTCTCAAAAATTAGTTTCCACTGAGTTTACGTCTCATTAACTTTCAAGAGTAGCCAGCAATTACAGACCCAGTGAAAAACAGATTTAGATGCTGATTCTAAACAAGTGGAATTCTGTAGGTAAAGAGTAGAAAAAATTATTTTCTTAACCCAAAATGGTCCTTAAGGGAGAATAAAGGTAATCAAAGTCTTTTAAGTCTTTTACCACCTTCGTCCAGACTAATGTTTACATATTGACAACCAAGAAATGTCACTTAATGCCAGTGCAATGTGCTATGGTATGTAAGATGTTAACCATGCCATCAAGATGCTTATGGTCTGGTAAGATGCAAGATTTTTCCCCCCACTCTCCTAAACTGTTATGGTTGCGTTAATGTCCAAGAATCCTGTGACAGGGGAAGCAACTTAAAAAATAAAATTAGGAAACAGTTAAAAACCTAAAGAAATAGCAAAATATATATGTGACAGTGTTCTGTCACAAATTTAGATCCATTCAAGTTTAATGGAATATACTGTATAGAGCCAAATAAACAGAAATGTACGTCTATTGAGTTTGCCTCACTTAGTTATACCACTATTCTGCTTTTATTATTACCCAACTGTTTTAACCATGCAGATGACATGGTTAATCCTCAGAGGAAGAAAACGGAACTGTCATGTAAATGATTTTTAGAAACAGTTCTTTTCAGTTTACCTGTATATATGGGCAGATGCAGAGTATAAATTGCATACACTCATAGTTACACAGACACACCTGCTGTGTGGCTATGCCTAGACAGGTATTTTTCCATATGTACTTACAAATAAGCTGGTAGAAAACTCAAACTGTAGGAGGGCAGGGCAATATACAAATTTACAGAAGAGAGATACCAAATAGTGAAGATGTATGAATGGGCATTTGGCAGAGGACAGATAATAATGAGTGATGAGAGGCTAGGGGCAGTGGCTCACAAGATCAGGCGTTTTAGACTAGCGTGGTGAATATAGTGAAACCCCATCTCTACTAAAATACAAAACAAAAAAATATTAGGCGTGGTGGCAGGCACCTGTAATCCCAGCTACTCAGGAGGCTGAGGCAGGAGAATCGTTTGAAACCCAGGAGGCAGAGGTTGCAGTGAGCCGAGATTGTGCCACTGCACTCCAGCCTGGGTGTCAGAGGGAGACTCCATCTCAAAAAAAAAAAAAAAAAAAAAGAAGTGATGAGAATGTGAAAGAAACTGCAGGAAATTTTCAAAAACTGACAGAAAAAGAACAGTATGTGATGTAAGAACTGCAGTATGTGAAGAGTACTTTGTTCTAACTGTGAAAATTAGGTTATATAATAGAGACTATACAGATTATAGCACTAAATTGTAGAGACTGAAATAAAATCAAAATAAAATTTCTGAGAAAATCAGGCTAAAGGCTCAAGTCACTTCCTTTTGTCACTGCTTATATAACTATTTTCACATAGTGTCTATTAACTGCCTTGGTTACTTTTTTTGAGACAGCGTATTGCTCTCTCACTGGGCTGGAGTGCAGGTGCGTGATCATGGTTCACTGCAGCCTTGACCTGCCAGGCTCAAGCAATCCCTCCTATCTCAGTCCCCCAAGATAGCTGGAACTACAAGCATGTGCCACCTCACCTAGTTAATTTTTTATTTTTGTAGAGATGGGAGTGGGGGAGGTTTCCCTATGTTGCCTAGGCTGGTCTCGAACTCCGGGAGTCAAGTGATCCTCCTACCTCAAGTCTCCCAGAGTCCTGGGATTATAGGCATGAGCCTCTGTGCCCAGCCAGTTCTTGACTTCTTAGTGAAAAGGCATTTAACTCAAATGATGGATTCATTCCTTTTGTTGTCAATAAACTACTAAATATTTAGAAGGTAAATATTAATACATGCAAATGTGTAGCACTGGGCATTCTAATATCTTCTCGTTTCCATTATCTAGCTTCAGAAAAATTTTAGTCATCTTTGCAGTCTATCTGAAATATGTCATTCTGCCTTCAATTTTCTTAACAAAATTTCTGCTCTGCTAGGTATACTGCTAGTATATAAAGTATAAAATTATCTTCCCATGGAACACTCAAAGATCTTTTACATTGCTTGATACTCAATTTTTTTAGGAATTTGGCTTGAAATGAAGTTTTAAACAGCCATGCTAATATTCCCTTGGATTTTACATACCTTCTTAGTCAAATTATTAGGATTATTAGTCAAATGATTAAAAACCTCAAATACATTACCTCAGACCTTTACATATACCACGTAACACATTCTGCATCTACAAATGCCCACAACTTTTACTGAGGATTTAAGTATGAGTCCCATATAAAGAAAGACCATTTCTATTTTTTTAAATTTCTACCCAAAAAATTGCATTATGCCATTTAATTGCTTTTTCATAAAGAACCATGTTAAGTATTCCTCTTAGTGCTAGCAAAATACTATTAAAACTTTCTCTCCCTAATTAATTGGTATGTTTTCCTTTTATTAGATAGCAATATCCATATTATTCTTGTTTCCTTTTTGCTTTGGTTGGCAAGAAGTTCTGAGCTGGTTGTCTGTTTCGGTATGAGAATTCTTAGCCTACGTCCGCATACTGTGACTCTTAGTAAACTCTGCTCAATTTCATTTGTATCCTATACTGTAAATCACTTCAAATTCTTTGCAGAAAAAGAGTATACATAGCCGGGCGCGGTGGCTCATGCCTGTAATCCCAACACTTTGGGAGGCTGAGGCGGGCAAATCACTTGAAGTTGGGAGTTCAAGACCAGCCTGACCAATGTGGAGAAACCCTGTCTACGAAAAATACAAAATTAGCTGGGTGTGGCACATGCCTGTAATCCCAGCTACTCGGGAGGCTGAGGCAGGAGAATCGCTTTAACCTGGGAGGCAGGGGCTGTGGTGAGCCGAGATGGCACCACTGCACTCCAGCCTGGGCAGCAAGAGCAAAACTCCACCTCAAAAAAAAAAAAAAAAAAAAAAAAAGAGTATATAAATAAATGATGTAACTGAAAACAACAGACAAATTATATAAATTAGACTTTATGTTCCTTACTAAACTTGTATTAAATCTAAGTCTGCCCACATGTAACCTGACAGGAGAGTTAAACTAACAAAACAAAACAAAAAAGGGCCGAGCATGGTGGCTCACGCCTGTAATCTCAGCACTTTGGGAGGCCAAGTTGGGCGGATCACCTGAGGTCAGGAGTTCAAGACCAGCCTGGCCAACATGGTGAAACCCTGTCTTTAAAAAACAAGCAAATATATATATATACACATTTTATCTTTAAAAACTGGACTGAGACCAGGGACAGTGGTTCATCCTTGTAATCCCAGCATTTTGGGAGGCTGAGACGGGCATGAGAATTACTTCAACCTGGGAGGTAGAAGTTGTAGTGAGCTGAGATCGTGCCACTGCACTCCCACCTAAAGTGACAGAGTGAGACTCTGCCCACCACCCCCCCCCAGCAAAAAAAGATTGGATTGTAGTAAAAATAAAAATGGTAAATAGTGTATTGGCTCAGAAATAAAGTTTGAAAAAGGTAGATTATAATTAACCACACTTTTGCCCTTTTCTATTTCACTCTGCCCTTGTTTCTAAGATGCAATGTGGTTTTCTAAACACTGCATTCTCACAGAGGACAGATTCTTAATGTAGTCATCATTCTGAAGCACTAATATAGGAATTACAGGTACACAGCTTTTCCCATCAATCACAGGGCTTGGGTTATTTAGGAATATAAACATTTAACCTCTGCTTTAATTTGAAGACAATGAAGGGTAGGTAGATGAAAATAGATTTATCAGCTAAATAAACCATTAAATCCTTTTTAAGTAGGTATAAAAACTAGGCATTAAGGGATCCTTAATGTGATAAATTTTTATAAATGCAGATATTTAGATGATGGAAAATGGATGTCTTTGTTATTCTGAGCTGCTCAACACAATTATACTATAATTATCTAAGTGAGGACAGGCCTGCTTCCAAATTTACCTGATGAGAGATGGAAGGTTGCTGGATGGGCCCCTGCATTCTAGGGTTTGGTAAACCCACAGGTGCTGGCCTCCGTTGCACCTGTTGCCTCTGAGCCATTACCTGTTGCTGCATATGCTGGAGCCGTAATTGAGCTAGGCTGATCTGTGTTGGGAACTTGGATAACTGGTTTGATGATAAACCACTTGGTGGCTGTGAATTCTGTTCCACGACAGGATTCTGCTTAGGCATTTGTGGCTGGCTCTCTTTATCCTCGATTACTAAAGAACCTGATTAGAAAGAAAAGGTTAAGGGAAAAAGTTTTTCAGATAGGTGGTGAAATATCACATTTTGTAAGGCTATTTTTGCAGAATGTCAGAATTGTCAAGGAATTCTCTGGTCTCATGAGCCCTTTTACACTCTGAAATATAGAGGATCCCCAAACAGCTTTTGTTCATTTAAGTTCTAGTAACCAAAATTTATAATATTAGAAATAAAAATAATTTTAAGAAGTACTAATTCATTTAAAAATAATAAAACCATAACAACATGTTTTTATAAAACTGTATTATAAAAAATTTGGTAAACAGTGGCATTATTTGATATTTTAAAAAATCTCTTTGAATGTCTTGCTTAATAGCTGAAATCTCATTATCTGTTTCTGCACTATCATAATATATTGTTAGGTTAAAATATATGAAAAAAATTTCAGTCTCACTGTATGGCAGACAGCACCTGACAGCAATAACTTAAGTGTACCCTGAGAGTGACCTGTGCGGCCTAAGCTGAGCTAAGGAACCCAGTATTGGCCAATGCGGAGATTCATTCTTTATCAATGAAGAATATCTGAACTCCCAGCCCAGCCTGTGGAATCCAGGCCATATAGGGGATGGAGGCCTTTTATTTTGTGTTAAATGAAGGTTGCCACATGGAGGTTGCTAGGGAGAGGGTGCTAAATGCTATTTAAACGACTTGCTGGTGGTTCTCCCATCCAGACCACTGCCACTGAACTGTCCTATATGTAAGTTCCCTCAATAAACCCTATATCTCGTTCACTGGCTTGAAGTCTCTTCTTGGGCCTCTCAAACACGGCACTATCCCTACGGAAGTCCATAGAGGTCTGGCACAACACTCATTCAGACATGCAGTTGGAAAAGGGTGGCCTTTGTGGTCCCCTGGAAGAGTACCAGACTATACTTTGAGAACTGCTGTCATATATGAAAACAAGCAAATCTGAGACTGGCTCTAAAAACAATCTCATAAGGTACTTCTAAATCTTTATTATTAACAAGTTGTGATCTCTCAAGTTTCCTATACCTTTACAATGCATACATATTATGTTAACTTTTTGATACAGAATATGTTGACTGGCTTAAAAACTAGTTTTAAGAGTTTAATGATGCCTTTGAAAAGTCAGATCCAAGTTTGATTTCAACAGTAGAGACTCAAATGTTTATGATTTACTAAGCAAATGCATTCTAAAAATACAGTTATTCATTAAATGTTTACTGTGTGTAATTCACTATGACAGGTAGGTATATGTATATATTTAAAAGAAACAATAACATTCTCTTTTACACATAAGGGATCTCAGGTTTAGAGAGACTTTAAAACTTATCCAAAGTCACTCAAGACACTAACAAAATATTCATCTAGATCAATATTGTTCCCTACCACTCTTCTCTGTTTCTCAGAAGCCATGGGTAACAAGTTTAGAAAACTTGTCTCCTTCTTTAGAGATTTACAATGTAAATCTCATTGTACATGAATTTACAGTGCTGTAAATGACAGGAGAAATCCTATAGTAAAATATATTGTTTAACTTTATCAGTTTCACAAACTATTAGACTAGAAGATCCTGTTTTTGTTTTGGCTCAAGTAGGTTTATCTGAAACTACAACCATTTATGCGTGTACAGTTTTAAACATAATTCTTAAATACACTTATGTCTATATGTGGGTGTGTTTACCTATTGTGATGTAAGTACATACATCCCTACATATATGAGCAACTTGTGTGGATTTATACCTGTGATGGGTTCTGAGTACAGATGAATGTGTGGTGACAGAGTCAAGTGTGGCAACAAGAGTTACTTATACACGTTTTATATTCTAAAGATGCTTCTTTTTGGTAAGATGAGTGTGTATAATTCCAGTTTCCTGCTATGTATCAATATACATATGTCTGCATCTAAAGGAGTCTGCAAGGGTCTCCTTATCACCTTTGCTTCCAGGATTCTTTTTGTTCTTCCCTTACATGGGTAAGATTGCCTATTTCCTCTTTTCCTAGTGAGTATGGGCTATTTCTCCAGTCATTTTCTTTTTTTACCCACAATCTAGCATTGGAGATGAGAAACCATCTTTGATGATTCTGAAACAAATATAATAAGCTCCCCCCCCACCCAAAAAAGAAATAATCAAAGGTAATATTGATTGCTAATCAACAGACAATGGGTTGCTAAAGGATGGGGATACATTCTGAGAAATGTGTCATTCAGGCCATTTCATCTTTAGACAAACAGCAGTTTACTTATGTAAAGTATACTGTATAACCTACTACACACCTAGGTTATATGGCATAGCTTATTGCTAGGTAGAATCTAGGCTACAAACCTGTACAGCACGTAATAGTACTGAATTATCTAGATAATACTGTAGGCAATTGTATTGTAACACAATGGTAAATATCTGTGTATCTAAACATACAAAGATATAGTAAAAAAAAACTTCAGTATTTATAAGTCATAGATGCAGTTAGTTGATTGAGACATCATTACACAGTACTTAACTGTTTAAGATTTGGGTATTTGTCAGTATGTATGTTATACTTCAGTTAGTAAGAAATTTACATAACTGTTACCTGATCAGGCAAAAGAAGAAAATTAAAAGTCTTCCCTAAGCAAGATAAAGGATTGAACCATTAGGTTCCTACTGAATGGTTCTGAAGATAAGCCAATAAAAATAAAGTAGTTTAAAATAAAACTTTCTAGATATCAAAAACCCTTTATCAATGACAAGTCAAGTTAACTCATTCTGATAAATTTAAAGCTAACAGAACAAACCAGATTTGGGGGCGTTGAGGTAACAGGACAGGACACCTAAATTCCTAAGTCTAGAGACCCTGTAATTCAATGTTATAGAATGTTTTCTTATCTGTACATGTATGTGTTTTTATATTTGTGTGTATGTGTTACCATATACATACAATACTATCAAAAACAGCATGCCTTTTTAAAATAATCAAAGCATTTTGAATGTGAGAAAAGACATTTTCTTTAATCCTCCAGTGTCAGCCTTCTAAGTAGCTGGACTACAAGCATGTGCCACTACCCTTGGCTAACTTAGGTATCTTATGTCGAAATCGGCTCTCCCTGTGTTGCCCAGGCTGGTCTTGAACTCCTGGGCTCAAGTGATCCTTGAGTGATCCCAAAGTGCTGGGATTACAGATGTGAGCCACTGTGCCCAGCCTAAGAGACCATATTTTCAGTAACATGTCATAATCATTGAGAGATCTACAAACAAAGGGCACTCTGAGAAATGTTATGTAATGGCCTACCTAAGTTGATAATATTTTGAGCCCAGAAACTAGGATCACAGTGAAACTGGATGGTGTTGTTGGTGACTGGGGACGCATCACATCTTGCACGAAGGAGGTGCCGCAACCGGTATGTAATCTAGAAGAAAAAGGAGAAACAACCAAATATTAGGAAAATAATTTATTAAGTGCCCAGTAAATACCTAAAAGCAGTCTCTGATATGTACATCAATACACAATAAACAATCATATATAGGTCCAAAGCATGTTAAAAAGTTTTGAGGCATAACTCAGTTAGCTGTACTATTAAACCTATTTTGAAGTGACAGGTTAAAGTCGGTTTTTTGAACAATTAATAAAACTTTGTAGAAGCACTAACTTAAATATTTGTAAAATAAAAGTTGTTAACATATCTTAATCATCAGTGAGGATCTAGTCATTCTCCCTCAGTTCTTGGAAGATTTTAGTTCTTGGTTCACTATCACCATCTCCAACATAAGTCCTTTCACAATTTTGGATGATTTCAATATCCAACCCAAATGATTCTTCTTTCACTTCCTCTAGTGCCCAAATACCAATAATCCTACAAACCTATCCATCCTTTCATCTCACTTTACCCTTGCCTCTAACCCTCAGTTCCTCATCATCCAGCTTCAATTCCAGTAATAATTTCCTTGCATATATATCTCATCAGTTCCTCATTATCCAGCTTCAATTCCAATAATTTCCTTGCATATATATCTCATCAACTCACTCAATTATGTATGTTCACTTCACTCTCCTCAACGTTTCCCCTAGATAAAACAACCTACCCTGGTTAAATCCCACCTTCTGCCTGAGTATCACTGAACTGATCTCACTTCAAACACTTGACCACTTACTTCAGCTAGGCCATTAAGGCTGACTAGCTATCATACGACATTTCTCTAGTCCATTCACTTCCCTAACTTTCCTAAGTAACTATTTCCTACTTTCTTTTCTCTTTTCTAACCTCCAGTATTTCCTCCCCCATTCTTAATCTTAGCTGATGTACTTGCTTAGCATTTCACTGAAAATCAGCAATAATCAAAGATCTTCCACAAACTTCCACCACTTTTCAGTCAGTATCCCCTCCTGGATGATGAAATGTCCATGTTTCTAGTTAAAGCCAGCCTTCCACTTGTGCAGAAGAGCCCACCCTGTCTTGCCTACTCAGTAATTTTCATCCCTTTTCTGTATCACCAATTTTCCCATTTTACTGGATCACACCCATCAACATATAAATATGCTTTAAGTTTTTGTAGGTAAAAACAAAACCCTTGACTCCTTTTCTCCTACCATCAATTACCCCATTTCTTTTAAAGCAAAACTCTACAAGTCTCATCTAGGTCCACTATCTCTGATCCTTCCCTACCCATTCTTTCCTGAGACCATTATGTTTAGGCTTGTTGCAGTTTTTCACACAGGTGGTCAGTCTGCCTTCATGGAAACACTTTTTTCATTTGGCTTCCAGCACACTATAATCACATGGTTTTCCCTTGTTTCACTAGCTGCTACCCTTTGGAGCCACTGAGAATAGATTTAGGTTCCAATGCCCCACTGTTTTTAAACTCTCCAGTAAGGGCAGGGATTCCTCTGCTTGTTGGCAATGCACAATCAGTCTCCACTGTGGGTGTTTTCTTCTCTCCCACACTGCTATGTGCTGGAATGCCCAGGGCTCAGTTTTTTGACCACTCTTCCCCTACATCCATATGTAGTCATGCACCACATAGCAGTGTTTCAGTCAACAATGTACCACATGTACAACAGTAGTCCCATAAATTATAATAAAGCTGAAAAATTCCCATTACCTAATGACGTTGGAGCTGTTGTAACATCACAGCACCAGGCATTACTTGTGTTTATGGTGATGCTGGTGTAAATAAACCTACCGTGCTGCCAAATAATGATAATAAACAACTATATTACTGGTTTATGTATTTACTATAATACTTTTTCTCATTATTTTAGAATGTATTCCTACTACTTACTAAAAAAAGTGACTGCCTCAGCCAAGTCTTTCAAGAGATAGTCTCAGAAAAAGGATTATTTTAATAGGAGATGAGAACTGAATGCATGTTTATGCACCTGAAGACTTTCCAGTAAGACAAGATGTGGAGGTGTAAGACAGTGGTATTAATAATGTGAGCCTTGGGTAGGCCTAGGCTAATGTGTGTGTTTGTGTCTTGATTTTTAACAAAAAGTTTTAAAGTAAATAAATACAAAGATATAAGGAAAGAAAGTATGTGTACAATGTTTGTGTTTTAAGCTAAGTGTTATTATCTTAAAATAACAGTAGCTTGACTCTTGACAAGAGTCAAGGCATTAAAAAAATTAAAGTTTATAAAGTTAAAGTAAGCTTTAAGTAAGCTGAAGTTATTATTGAAGAAAAAATATTTTCAAATAAATTTAATGTAGTCTAAATGTATGGTGCTTATAAAGTACCCAGTAGTGTATAGTAACGTCGTACGCCTTCACAATCACTCACCATTCCACTCACTTGCTCACCCAGAGCAAATTCCAGTCCTGCAAGCTCCATTCATGGTAAATGCCCTACAGGTGTACTGTTTTTTTTTGAGTCTCACTCTGTCATCCAGGGTGGAGTGGAGTGGTACGATCTCAGCTCGGCTCACTGCAACCTCCATGGTATAACATTTTTTAATCCTTTGTATTGTATTTTGACTGTACCTTTTCTATGTTTAGATATATAAACACCATTATGTTATAGCTGCATACAGTATTCAGTACAGTAATATGCTGTACAGATTGGTAGCCTAGGAGCAATAGGGTATACCATCTAGGTTTGTGTAAGTACATCCTATGATGACACACAGTGCCAAAAATCACTATTTCTCAGAATACATCCCTGTCATCAAGCAACACATGACTACTTTTTATCCTCAGGTGTACTCTTCCTATAATCCTCCCCATCTCAATTACTGGCAATACTATTTTTTCCTACAACTTAAAAGTCCTTGATTCCTTTTTCTCACACTCTGTATTCAACCTGTCAGCAAATCCCATTGGCTCCATGTTTAAAACATATGTATAGGCTGGGCGGGGTGACTCATGCCTGTAATCCCAACACTTTGAGTGGATCACAAGGTCAGGAGTTTGAGACCAGCCTGGCCAACAAGGTGAAACCCTGTCTCTACTAAAAATACAAAATTAGCCGGGTGTGATGGCACATGCCTGTCATCTCAGCTACTTGGGAGGCTGAGGCAGGAGAACCACTTGAACCCAGAAGGTAGAGGTTGCGGTGAGCCAAGATGGCGCCACTGCACTCCAGCCTGGGCAACAAGAACGAAACTCCATTTCAAAAAAGAGGGGAGGGGAGGGGAGGGGCCAAGCCTACATTTCTTTCACCCAAATTCCCCGAGTGTTAACTTATGACCAAATTTGCTGCAGTGCTCACCCAACTGCTCCTACACACATTATTAGTCTTTTTCCAAAACTTTGGAGAGCAAGCTACAGGCATGAGGTCCTGTCTCCCCTAAATACTACAGTATGGATATCCTAAAACAGGGGTAACTAAATCCCAGATTCCAAATTCATAAACCAATTGTTGCAACACAGCCATCCAGTTTAAATATTTCATCTAAACGCCAACAGTTTCAGCAGTCTTTTCCATGATGCTATCAAGGAATACAAGTTGCTTCGTTGCCTCATTTTTCAACTGCTCAGACTTTCTCTTTCGTTCACGTCCCTGATGTGTTTTGAAGATTTTATGCCTTACATTCTGTAGGATGACTTTTAACCTGGTGATATTTCCTCCTGATCAGACTTATTTACAGTATTCTTGTCAAGAATACCACACAAATGATGATGTGCCAGGAAATGTAGGATGTTCAACTTGTCCTACCACTGGTGATATTAATCTTGATCTGTAATTCTGCTACTCAATTTCTTAACCTTAAAGTTGAAGAGGTATTCTAAGATTTTACTAATACTCTGTTTCCCATCAATCCTCTACCCAGCATATTTGCAGCCACTGACTAGTCCTCCCAAATTACCTCTATGATAGTAACCAAATGTACTCCTTTATACCCATTACTCTTTCTACAACCATAACTTTTTGTTTTGTTATCAACTTCTCCCCCAAATACCCTGTTTACTGATTTATATTATTATAAACTCATGTATTCTTATTTAATTCAGTGTGTTATAATTTATTATAGTGACTTATTTTGATCCTCAAATTTGTTTTTAGTTTTCCCAGTGGGAGCCCTTTTACACTGGAATCCTGTTTCCTTTGACATGTCCCCATTATCATCTGAGCATTTCAGTAGTTTTCTGGTATAACATCATGTTCTGGGCACACCTTTTACTTTCCCCCTCTTTTCCTAGTATTTTGAAACCAAGATCTGGAAGAAGTGGGCTCAGTGCTATTGGGATGCAGCACACCAACAATGAATACATATGCACATATAGATGGATACATATACATCTGTAATGATTTCTAGATCTGAGTCCAAGAATAAAAATAAAACTCTAAGTTCATACTTGTACTCTTAATTCCAATCCAACACATCTTTGGGCCCTTCCTAGCCTAACTTCTTTCTAAATACCTTCTCTGGAAACTAGGCTGCCATTACCTTCAATATATTTATTTACTTATTCAATCCATTTACTTATTTACTCAATGTAACCAAGATCCAAATGACACTGGCTAATTCTTCTGAACACCTCTATATTCCTCCCTCCCACTTCACATCTGTGGCTACTGGCTTCATGCCTGCAGTGATTCCCCAACCCTCTCCAATATCCAATGACCTCACAGTCACCATGCTGATGCCTCCATGCCAGGAAGAGAAGTCAGTAAGATTCTTGATAGTTTTTATGTTAATATATAGATACACACACACATACACACATTTTATGTATCATGTATATTGATAATTAGCTATCTTGAGGATAGGGACCAAGTCTAAACATGAAGCTTATTTATGTTTCATATACACAATATACATAGCCTGAAAGCAATTTTATACAATATTTTTAACAATTTTGTGCATGAATCCAAGTTGTGTTCAATTCTTATGTGTATAATTTCCCACTTGTGGTATCATGATGGTGCTCAAAAAGTTTTGAATTTTGGAGAATTTCAGATTTCAGTTGGGA